CACTTTGAAATAGGAGTAATTATTACTCTAAATAATTTTTTCTCCTCCCCCCAAAAAAAGAAATTGTTTTTTTTCTCTCTCTAAATACATAAACAAAATTTTGCAATTGCATCTAATCTTTAATCTGCGATATATATATATATACCGACAATAACGTTACGAGCTGATGCCCTTCGACTTCCGGCGGATGTATGTCGTCCTTGCTCCGACGCTTCTCTCGTTTTCCTTGTGCGCACACACCTGACTTTTATTAATAATTTTTTAAAATTCGACCTTCAATTTACAATGTCTTGTATGAGAGTCTTTTGATACAAAAGCAATTTAAAATTTCTCGAGGCACTTTTGCCATTTAATTTAAACAATTAATTTTCCACGGGATATATAGGTACCTTGGGCCATAGTATCTGCACATGTTTTCTGTGCAATAATTTTTATTATACACCAATTGATAAAGTGGAATTTATTTTACGAGTTTCGTAATATGCAATCTGACAGATATTGCCTCCTTTCAAGTCCGTAACAAAATCATCAATAAAAACTCGATGAAAAAAAAAATATATTTCTCTTTTTTTTTTTTTTTAATGCAATAAGGATCAAAATAATATATTAATATCAAACTACCAATAATGCTCAAGTAATAATTTATTTAAAAATTGCAAAATAAAGTAGTAAAATAAAAAAAAAAAATTGTACTGTTTTTTATTTGAACAATAAAAAATTTCAACCAAATTTGATTTTTCCTTTTTTTGTATGAGTCAACAAAAAAAAAATTTTTGACCTAACCGCAAGTTTTGTGTGTCTATATTGTGATTTTACTAATTGTATATTTTCTTTATTTTGAAAAAAGAAAATAATAAGTAGTCGTTAAATTGTAATTAATCATAGTTTAAAATGACTTTTAAAAATGAAACGATGTTTATATAAAAAGGAAAGAAATTGTTTTTTAAACAGAAAAAATAATAAGATTAGTTCCTCAATAGTTTACGGAAAAAATTAAAAGAAGAAAGTGTTTCGCGGAGAATAACGTTGTTAATCGATTAGTTTCATGGTTCGTTAATTCTTACTATGACGTTTGTTTACAAAAAAAATTAAATGTTTGATTAAATCCAACTTAACACATCGATCCATCATAAACTGTCACTTATTTTGCCAAGATGTCTATAATTACATGAAAACTTTAATTAATTGTCAAGATCAACTATTTTAAATTTTTACATCATTCTTTCAGAAGTTATGTCCTTATGTAAATTTTTTTAAAATGTAAATTGTTATAAAAATTTAAATAAAATATAATTTACAAAATATCTCATTTTTAATACAGAATAAGTTTATTATTTTATAATATTTATATTTTATTTCTATAAAATTTGCAATAAATAAAATAAATAAAAAAAATTTATAATAAAAAATTCTGTTTTATTGGCAAAAAAATTAATTTTAGATGAAATATAATTATTTTTAACTTATTTTTTAAAAAAAAGGTTTAGTAAAAATTATTTGTTTCAAATAATCGGTTTCTCGACTATTATAAAATAAATATTTGAGCCAAATTTTGAAACCAAATAATTGAATTAAATAAAATTTATTTGAACTAATTATTTCTGTAATTGAAATAAATATCATTTAATTGCCTCAAAAAATAATAATTATTTAATTGACTCAAAAAAATAATTATTTAATAAATATTTATTTGACAATAGTCAATTAACCGATTATTTGAATCAAATAAATTTTGTTTCCATGTAGAAGACTTTAGAAGACATCTTAATAAACTATGATTAATTACATTCAAATTTTTTAGTACAAAGTCAAATTTTTTTTATACACAAAGATAAATTTCGCCTAATTAATTTAAATCGAATCAATAAATTATTTCCTAAAATCGAATATTTTTTTTTCTCTTAAATCCAAGATTATTCTTGATTATAAGAGATTTTTTTACAAATATATTTTTCTATTTTTAAAAATACTACTTTTTTTTAATAATTCCCACAAAAGAGATGTAAAAAAAACCTGAATTAATAATATTGAAACATATATTAAAATAATAATTAATAAAAAAAGCCTTCTCTTAAATAATTATATAAGATTTATTTATCATATAAATAATTAAAAAAGAAAAGTAATTTTATTGAGAAAAAAAACGGTTTTACATCCCTGGTTGAAAGAGATCACCCAGTATACAGAGTTTTAAGGAGGTATATCGGGCCCAAACGAAAGAAGTACGTTGGGACTCATAAAATAGTAATAGGAGATCTCGCGAAACACATACACACGCACACAAGAGAGACGCAGGAGGCAAAAAGTGGGAGAGACAAATGAAAGGAAGAATATAAAAAAAGGGTTAGATGGGACATAGAAACGACTAAGAGGGATGGGAGAAGAATTCTCCCCCCATCATATCAATATATATATAAGATTAATCCTTGGAAAGAAAATAATATTATATAAAATTTTCTTTCTTACGTTTCACATATATAAAAGGATATGTATAAAACTCGAAAAATCAGAATCATTCCCTCCCCTTCTTTTACTTTTAGTCTCTTTTCACATTCGACCATGATCACGAGAGACCACGTAACGTTTTTCCAAATCATTATATGGACCCCTTGAGCCTATCTCTCAAGGCCGGCCCTGAAAGTGGAGAGAGAGAAAAAAAAAGAGAGAGAGAGAGAGAGAAAGATACAAGAGGGGTTTGGGTCATTGGTTGTTCGTTGCGTTCAACGTATGGGAATCGTTATGGCCGACTATAGTCGTTGGAATGCGTTCTTTTTTTTCTTTTTGTGTCTCTCTATATACCTGGCGGTCCGCGCACAGCATCAGCTCAACCTCCACAGGTAATCCCTGCTTCGGAGGACCGGTAGAGTTGAGAGAGAAAAAGAGAGAGAAACAGATAAGGCGGATGCTGTATGGATAAAGAGAGATGAAACACAGCAGGCGGGATAAAAGTTAGACAGAACAAGAAGGAGAACAAGAAGGAGAAGAAGAAGAAGAAGGGAGAAAAGAAGAGAAGAAATCGAAAGAAACGAGACGATCTCTTGTTATGTAGTGATGGGCGACTTTCGGACATTTATTATAAAAGAAACTTTCAACCGAATCTAACAGCCTAAAGTTTCTCGGGAGATTTTCGAGATTTGCTGAAGAATTTTTTTTTTTAATCTCAGCATATCTTTGGACCAAATTATACAATTATCGATGCTTTTAAATTTTTTAAAATTTCGAGTAATTAAAATTTTTAAGAAATAAGAAATTTTTTTTTTTTTTTTTTTAATAAATAATTTTTTCTAATAATAATATTTTCATTTTAATAAAAATTTAGTTTTTCGAAAAATATTTTATAGACAGAATTACAATTATACCACAAAACTGTTTCACCAAGTTCAAAGCCGTTAAGCTGAAACTAATGAAATTCTCTGTTAATGATTTTTTATGACTTCCCGAACATAGAAGTTGAATTATTTTTACAACTGGACTAAAAGCAATTCTAAATAAACGAATTTGAAACATATTTTTAAATTAATGAAAGTTTTTTAACATTTTTCAAATCACAAAAGAAATAGTTTCTTTGAATTAAAGAAATTTTTTTTCTTCTTTTATAATTGAAAAAAAAAAATTCAATTATTTATGGCCGATTAAAGAATTTTTTTTTTGTAAGTCAAGGAAAATCTTTACTATATACTATATAGAAAAAGAAGGTCAAGGATATGATTCTTCAATTCAAAGAATCATTTTTCTTCTTGATTGATTGTTCTTATTTCAGATAAAAAAAAAAAATTAACATTCTTTTAGGGAATGTTTCTTCAATTAAAAAAAAATGTCTCTTAAAATATTTAAAGAAAGTTTTTTAAACAGTAAATGAAAATTATTACTAGATTCCACACTGAAAAAAAAAATTTGTTTTAAATAATCGGTTAAATATTATTATTTACTAAATTATTATTAAAAATAAATTATTCAATAAATTTAAATATTATTATTTATTATTTTTTGGGATTCATTTTATCTACAAGAAAAAATATTTTTTTTATATTATTTTAATCAATCTTAAAGAAAATGCTAATTACAAATTTTATTATTAATTAATTATTATCATTTGAACAAATAATTTCTGTATTTGAAACAAATACAACCATTTAACTTTAATTATTTACAAAATATTTATTTAATAATAAATCGATTATTTGAAACAAATAAATATTTTTCCAGTACAAGAAACAATTTTTTGATCTAGCAAATGTTTCTTTGGTCCAAAGAAACATTTGTTTGCTTTGAAGAAAATATTTTATGTCTATAAAAGTAACTTTTCTTTATATTAAAAAAAAAATGATTATTTGGTAGCTCCAAAAATTATTTATAAATGTAAAATATATTTTTATTTAAGGGGATGTTTCCTAAAAAAATAAACTGCTCCAAAAAAAAAATGCATAATTTTTTTTTCCACAATAATTTTTTTTTTTTTATCGTAAAAAGAACTCTGTGGTTCAACGGTCAAGTTTAAAAAAAATCACACCACCTCATAGACAAGAAGTCTTACATAAGACGACGATAATCTTTCCTTTCCCATACAACATAAAAGTACCATAAAATGCCTTCTCCCATAAACTTTTGCATAACTTCTAAAAATAGTGTCATTGGACCTATAAACAAAAATTTCATCCTAATACATCTCTAATCATTGAAATTTTTGAATTTATTTTTTTTTTTCAACTAATTTGATTCGTTAAAGAAATCTGTTGGGCAAAAAAAGATGACTGTTTAAGGAGGTGAGATGGAAATTGAAGCAAAGCTACATCATTTTAATCGGAGAGACTCTTATACCTGTATATATGGTAGATTCGTTCATTTCGAATCGGTGACGTTGAATCAACGATTTAAACTGACCAATCGGAAGGTAGAATTTTGAAAATGGTGGGACAAAAGGGGGATGCGGGAGGGGTGGGGGCTTACGAGAAAGGTGTGTGCAACCTCTGATGTGGGGAGCGGGGCCAGTTTCTCAGTGAGTGCGGTAGTGATCTCATCTCGGACCGCGCCAGGTGTAAGTGTATAATATCCCAATTCGAAAAATTCTAAACGACCAAAGTGAAAATGCACGAAATTTTCAAACTTCTTTTTTCCATTCAATTTTTTAATTCAGGTATGTGGGTTTTTTTTTTGAAAATCTAAATTCTCTAAAATTTCTATTTCTTTTTCATTGAATTTTTTTTCCAGAATTTCTATTTTTTTTAAGTTTCTGCGTATAGACAATTTATTCAAAAAATGATATTCAGTATTCAGCAAATATCGTCACTACGCGATGAAAATCTTAAGTGAGTCATCAGCAGTCGTTGATCGTCTTATTCATATACGTCTTTCGTTCGTTTTGTAAGTTTCCATTATGGAATTTTGCTTAAAATAAAATTTTACAATTTCTATTTTTTTAGCGAGAAAATTTTAATTTTTTTTTTTTTTTTAATTTGTTTCAAATTTGTATGTTGGGGCATCATTTTAGAAATTCGAAATTAAATTGTACTTTTGCATGTTTTAATTCATTTTTGTTTTTAAAAAAAAGTTTCTTTTTCAGAAATAATTTGGAATTTTTCCTCCAAAAGAATATTTTATCAATAAAAAAAATATTTTTTATGAAATTTTAAGGCTTATCAAAATTTTGTGCGCTTGGGTATGTATTTAATTTTTCTTTGTTATAAATTTTATTTTATTAAACTAAATAAAATTTATTAATTGAATTCAAAATTTTTTTCAAAGTCTTTGAATATAATTTTGAATTAATTATAATTAATTTTTTAAAATATTAATCTGGGAAACTTCGAGAATGTACAAGATTTTTTTTTATAAAAATTTAATTTTTGAAATATTTTTAAACACTCAAAAATTTATATTTTGTATTTTTAATCGAAGGCGAAAAATTAATTCCATATTAATTAGTAATTGAAGTTTTAAATTAATTTAAAAAAAATTTTCTGATGACGAAATTTCATAACGCAATTTTTAATAAATTTTTTTCGGGCATTTCGCGCGCGAAATGTCTTGTGGGAAAATAATTTATTTTTGATTGAAAAGAAAAAAAAAGGAAGCTATATGAACAAAAAGCGTTTGTTATGAGAATGTTTCTCGTATTGCTTTCTTGCATAGTTGAGAGATAAAGCGAGAAAAATGATAATGATATCCGTCAGGTGAATCAACCCACGACGGCCTCCGACTTATGTCTTTCCTCTTTCTTCTTTCATCAATGCAAGAAAGCACAAACACATGTAATATACATATATATATAGAGAACTGCCGGGAAATCCTGGTTCTGGTTCTGGCTTTCGACCAAGAGCCGCACCATCGCCGCCGTCTCATTTACCGTATATACACGTTCGACTCGTTAAAGTTTCGCGTGCGAATTTCCAAGACTTGAAACAAGAATTTACTCCCCATAGCAACAGGTTAGCTTTCTTGGTCTATACCCGGAAACCACTTTGACCTTATACTTCTCATCTCTTTATTTTTCTAATTTTTGCATTTATTTTTAATTCAAAAAATTAAAAAAAAATACATTCTGTATGTAAAATTACATATCTTGAAATTTAAATGAAAATCATTATTATTAAATAATTTTATATTATACAATTATTATTAATCTATGTACTCGTAAAAATAAATATTTATATACATATTAATTAATAATTATTATATAATTATAAATTTATAATTTAAATAATTTATTTTCGATCGTATTTTTATTATTATATTTAATTATTCCCCTTTTATATAAAAAATGTTCAATTAATTTTTTTTTTATAAAGAAAATTTATTTCGCTTATGTAAAACTACGCGTTCTCATAACAAACTCATTATGCGCGTTAGCAAATTGTGTCAATAATAAACGAAATGTCAAAATACTTGTACCGTGAAAAAATAATCGAGATTCAGGCAACCGTATTTGTTATTAACGTTGCGTAATGACATGCCGTACAACCTGAATCGGAGAATTCATTTATTTCTTTATCCTTTTTCCAGATGGTTCACATTTAAAGATACAATGTATTTTTTTAATTTCATTATTTAAAAAAGAAAAAATAATAAATAATTTATACTAAGTGTTTCGGGATGCCCCAAAAAGCGTCGCTTACGGTGGGGCACAAATAATAATAAATAATATTTTAATTCAGAAATTAAAAATGAAAAGAAAAATGGAAAAAATTTCAAATATTAAAAAAAAAAACCACACGAATTGCACTCGCACGTGGTAAATGTTTGACCTCTTTTTTTGATCTTAAAAAATTTGAATTTTTTTCTTTTTCTTTTTGGAGACACGTGCACATACAGCTAAATATACATTTATCGGGATTTTAAGGCCGCATATCTGTTACATATATGTATCGATAAAACCCACAATGCAGACTAAGGAAACTTCTATCTTGAAAAATCTTTCTATCATGCCGACAGGCACATATTTAAAACCTTTCACGCTAGACTGCGAGCCAGCGTGAGATAAATCTATGAAAAACCTTCATATATATATATGTATACCACGAGGTGAACTTCCTACGCCAATTCACCGAACCTAAACGAAAAAGTAGGGATACAAATTTGATTATGCTCGATTGTATATGTCACATCCTGTAATTATCTGCATTTGCTTTTTAATCGAAATTTCATTTAATTTTTCTCAACGCTCATATACAATAGAAAAAAGAATAAGTTTCTTTACAATTAAATTCGAAATCGCATTCTTTAGTTGAGAAATTACTTCATTTCAATTTTTTGCCTCAATTTTGCTAATTGTTTCTTTTTTTTCAAATTTCATATTTCAACTAAATCAAAAATAATTTATTTTTATTTTATTTTTTTGCATCGAGGACAAAAAAAATCCTTTTTTCAGAGAGGGAGATAGATAAATTTTTTTGAAGGTCAAAGTCAAAATTTACAGTATTGTACATCTTTATTTTGATGAAACATTCCTTTGAAGAGTAAGTCACATTTGTTATCAGTTTCATTACTGTTTCGATAAGCATTATATGAATTTACTTTGTAAAGACCACCTTTAGGAATCCGAATGATTGGTGTGACTTATTACGAAACATGAAAAAAAAAAAATTATTTATATATATACATATATATCGGCGAATAGGTGATAATTGACACGAACGACAGGTCTTATCGTCCAAAGACCCTGACGTGATCGTATTTGTGCTAATTAAATTTTCATAACGTGAATATCAACGGAAAACATCTCTGGATGGTTATTCGTCAACGATTAACTCTCACGCGAAAAAATTTAAAATAATTCACCAGAAACTTTTTTTTTTTCTAATTAAATTTAAAAATTAAATAAATTTTTCTATAATTAACAGAAAATTTCTGATTCATTAAGCGATTAAACATATATATATATATATTTTCAATGTTTTCTCATCGTAAAAGTTCACTATTTGTTATACGCGCGTAATTACAACAGGACGTTTTCATTCCCAAACAGAAAATAATCGGTGTGATTATTTGGTAAAGAATAGATTGACCAATTGCGAACACTTTACTAGGACAAAACAATTGAATTGTCCCGCGCATAATTAGACAAAATAAAATAAATTGCAATTGATCAGGGCACGAGAGAAAATTTAATTTGTATTTCTAAATATTCATGATTATCCAATTTTATTAATTAAAAATAAAAAAAATAAAAAAAATCATTGAACAAAAATATTTATTTTATTATTATTTCTGCTTTAATTATTATTATAATAGAAAACAAATGATTTTATAATACTGCGTTCCATTAAAATTATTCACTTTTGATCGTTATGTTTGATAAAATATTCAGTCATGTCGGTGGGAAAAGAATTTTTTTTTTTTTCTCCTCTCGATGGTCTTTTATATAAAGTTCTTATAATGCCTTATAAAGTAGAATTCGAAGAAGTTAAGAAACATATAATAAATGTGACTGTTATTCCATTTGTGCGGGGTTTTTTTAAATAAACACAAATCTCATTTATCTCTGACACGTGTGTGCGTTTTACCATTATTATCGTGGTTGCGAAATTTTTGCGCTCACAATCATGTCCATCAACCTAAATCTTTTACATATAATACCGATTCCATTCACGACCCACATATATACTTCGGTCAAGGATCTCACCGACTGAACTTCATTTTAGACCCTGAATTTTTTTGTCAATTTCTTTAATTTTTTTTTTCATTTATTCATTTTATATTATCCTTTTTAATTCCTTTTTTTATTAAATTAAATTAGCATTTAACAAATTTTTTTTATTAATTATAATAATTATGGGATTTAAATTAAAAAATTTTTTTTTGGAGTAAAAAATTTTTTCTTGGATAACAAAAATTGTGAGAACATTGCGAGAGTATAAGAATGGAGCTTGTTTATAAAATTTAACACGTCTTCTTGGTACCGTTGTCTTTGACTGTATAATGAAAATAAGTTAGCAATTATTTACCCGAGACTCGAGGTTAAACTGAAACCCACCACACCGGTTGAGAGTTAAAATTATACAGCATCTTTATAGTCATTGACCGTTAATACATATTTTAAACATGAGGCAAACTTGAATCTTTATTCTTCATAGTTTTTTTTTTTTTTTTCCTTTTTTTTTGCATAAAATGTGATTTTTCAACGATGATAATTATTATTAAACTTTTAAATATTCTCCAACAGAATTTTTTATTTTCTGCGTTTAAAAATGTGTTTTTTTTTAATACTAAATTTAATTTAAAATTTGTCCCAATATTTATTATTAAAATTAATTATTTACTTATAATTAAACACGTGTAGAGTAATTTTTTATCAGCATTGAAATGAAGTAATTTCTTTACATTTTTAAAAAACACGTTCTGACCTTGTTTTTCATTATCAAAATATTTCTCAATTATTAAAAATATAATTTTATTTTACGAGATAAAAATTTTTAAATAAATGAAAAAACAATTATTTTTACAATAATCGAAAAAAAAGAAAATAAAAAATAGTAATAAATTATTAAAAATTAATTTCTAGAATATTATCAAATGAAAAGAGACATGTGCATTTAAAATTCGAAAGATGCAGAAGAATTTCGTAAATATTTGCAAGTGATGCCTATGTATTATCGCATACGTAATCGTATTCTTACATATTAAATGAGAAAATATGTTTTATATTCAGTTTTCCCTTTCAATGCGGATATCGCACTTGAATATCGAACCGTGAGAGAAAGTTCGAAACGTGGAATAAAAAAAAACAAATTCACATGCAACAACAAAGTCTAAGTTAGGTCATGTATCAGTGCTGACACATGTTGAATTAAATTGCGCATATGCAGGCGAGAGACGAGGATATACAATTGAAGAAATTATGTACATTACACTCTCGTTGATATTATAATTTTAGAATTCAAATTATCATTATTGTTGCTGGAAATACATAAATATAGTCCATATAACATAATTGATAATTTTTTTTTATATATGAGTGATTAAAAGTAATGGCAGTTTTAATTTGCAATTTTCTGATGGAATTTCAAACAAATAGCTTCGAAAATTTTTAATTCGATAATGGTTTAATAATATTGTTTGTGAATTTTTAAATTATTGTAATTAAAATTTTGATTTCTTTTTTGAAATTATTAAATTGGAAATATTGAACTTGGTGAAGAACAAATTTAATAACCGATTTCTGACACGCGTGAACAATATGACAAGATTATAACTTTCTCTATAAATGGATCTCGCGAAAGTGACATTTGAAGATTGCTATACAATGAACTGACAAATATAACCCACAATCAACTATGCAATATAATAAATTATATTAAATAAGAATTAATTTCCTTTTTTTTTTTGAAATTTATTTTTCTATTTTCCAAATTTGATATTTCTATTCTAAGATATATTTGCTGAAATTATTTGAATTTAACTTTATATTAAAAGTAATTATAAATTGAAAATATTGTCATTCTTATCGCTTAGCTATCATCAAAAATATTTTCTGTTTATTTTCATTTTCTGAATAGTTATCAATTTGTGTGAAATTAGAATTCAAATGAAAAATATATAAAAGCAATATTTTAATTTCAAAATTAAAATATTTGAATAAAATAATTAAAATAAATTATATCTAAAATTCAATAAATTAATTAAATAAATAAAATTATTAAATTAAATAAATTTTACAAAAAATTTATCGTATAAATTTTATTTAACTCTTTAAATTGGAAAGTATACTGATTTGAATAATTGAAATACTATTAATTGAAAATAGTTGATTGTCTGGATAACGTATAAAGCGCGGTCATTGTATAAAGAAAATATTCAGAATAAATTTCAAAAGCGAGGAGTATAATTGACATTGATTTGAGCAAGATACGTTTGGTAATAAATCCTTGAGTGGGACAATTGATTCTCATTTCGTATCGAGCAGCTTTCTCTTTAAAATGTCAGCTCTTTCACTTGTTTCACATTTCTAAGTCGTATATATACTTTTCATTATAATATATTTATACAGAATGTGTCATGTTAATTTTATAATTATATCTTAACAATTGAATCTTGAATCTCGCAAAAATTAATTATACACACTTTTGGATATAATTAAAAAAAAAAAAAAAATTCTTCTGAGAAATATTTTTGACGAAATTTGTCAAACCTTATAATTTTGTAATTACAATTTATGTTATCTGTTTTCAGAATCTGAATGCTTGTCAACTTGGAAGAAATGAAAGCAGATGATGTTTAAGTGAAGAGAATTTTTTCGAAGAGAAGAAAGAATAAAGAAGAATTATGCTAAGAAGATTTTCTGTTTTGGAGTGAGGAATTTTTTTTTTTTATAAAAAAAAAGAAGATGATGGCGCGGACATTTTCTTTGGTTATCTAGCTGTATGAGTTTTATTGTACATCATAAAGCTAGGTTACCGGAGTTAAGCTCCTCGCCGTATCAACCCTAATCTTCAACCTTCAACGCAGCCAATTATACGGTCTCATGTTTACCTTTACATATATACATGCGCATACTACATTATATATATATTTGGACACATCACGACAAACATGGACTTGGACATCTGCCTAAGCAAATTACGAAATTTGTCTACTGATTTTAAAAATTAAAATAAAAAACCACGTGTGCGATCAAAAGCTGTATTATTTGAATTTTTATTTTATGTTAAAGATAATTAAAACCTACGCAAAATGTAAATAACGTAACTCGCAAGAAAATATTCTATTATAACAGCTAAATACCACAAAATAATTAATTAATTAATTATTAATAATAATTATTATTAATCAAAAATTAATATTAATATTCACAACAATGTGAAAAGTTTTTTAACTGTGTTACATTAATAAAAAAAATAATATTAATATTATTTTTTTCGTATTTTTGAATAAACGATCAGTAATTTTTAACTAACAATATTGTACTCTAAATCCGTAAATTTTTTTTAAATAATTTGAATTAACGACTGAGATTTTACTACGAATTAATTAAAATTGACTATTAAATTAGCAAAAAGCATTTTTTAAAACTAATTTATTATAAAAATTTAACTAATTCGTAGCTAAAAGTCAGTCACTAATTCAAATTATTTAAAAATTGTTACTAATTTAAATTTTATACAATAGGTATCATAAAATTGAATAATATTTTTAATTTTATTCAATTTTTAATAGTTATTAAATTAAATAAATTATTAAATTATTTATTTATTTAATAAATATCAATCAATTTGTTATTAAAATTTTAATTGAATTTTTCTCAATTGTTAATTTTAACTACGGATTTTTATCGAATTAAATTAAATTGAAATTCATTTTATTATTAATTCATTATTACTATTGTTATACATAAATTCATCGACGTGACTATAACTTGTATAATAAAAATTTCAATTCATATTTTAAGTTTAAATATAAATTATGCCTAATCCAAGAATCCCATGATCCTCTATATTGTCACTAATATTATCAAATTTTATAATTAAAAACAAATGTCTTGTGTGCTCCAATAAAAATTATTTTATTTAATAAAAAAAATAGTACTAATTATTTATTTAAAATATCCCATAATTTTTTTTCCAACATCTTTAGATTCTACTTTTTATTGTTTTACATTAAATATTTTCCAACAACTAATTAAATAAATATCAAAAGAAAAGACTAAATTTTTTGTTAATAAATCTTGGAAATATTTACATATTTATAAAAGAAATAAATTTTATTTTTAAAAAATAGTTTCAATTTCATTTAATTCAATAAGAATGAAAAATTTACTTTAATATTTCATCGAACATCGCTTTAAATATAATTCATGAAATAAATATAGTAAAAAATAAATACAAATCTTCCACCCAGAAAAATGTTTCCGGTAAAGAAGAAGGATGTCAAAATTTTAATTGCACTAATTTGAATTAGAATTTTTACAAATTCAAATTTAGAAAATTTAAGAAAATAACGTGTCAATAAATTGAAAATTATTTATAAGTCAAACCTACTATAATTATTCAAAACGTAAACAGAAAAACAATCGAATAATTAATATAATCTTTTAACAAAATGCATACATAATTTAATATGCATGATAATGTTTTAATTATACAGTTTTGAAGACAAAGTATAAACGTTTTTTTTTATTTCAATAAAAACGAATTCCATCAAATTATATCATTTTCTTGAAAAAAAAAAAAAAAAACATACACACATATAACTTTGTTGCATATAGGTGTTTTCTACACGGTATATATCGTGGTTCATTGTTCTCTCATTTGAAGACAGTATCAAGGAAAGAGTCACTTTTTAGGCACGGGCATGATGCGTGACGACAATAGTTCCCACAATAAAGGAGTCTCTCAGATATTTACTAACTATACATATATGCATACATGCCGCAACAAGGGTGAAACGTTTCCATTGGTTTACTTGGGAAAACTTTATATATATCTAGCAAGGAGCCACCTAAACTAAAGAGCACGTCAATATACATATATATAAGAAGCCTAGAGAGGATGTGTTTACTTTCATTCAAAACCCACCTATATATACCTCCTTCTAATTATCCTATCATCATAAAAAAATCACATACATTTTTTATCCTATCAAGATTAAAATGCGAGATTAACAGAGTTGCCCTTTTTCAAACTGTTAGTTTGTTTTAATTTCTTCTTATGATGTTCTATTATGTATCCATTCATTTCCTCTTTCTTTATACTAATTTCATTAAATTCCATATAAATAATTAATTAATTCGTTATTAAACATATCGAATTTAAATATTAATTTTATTTCGCGAGTTACTAATTATTACTAATAAAAGAATAATTAATCTTTAATTAGCAATTTTATAATGAAACAGAAGTGAAAATTTATTAATTATTAATTAATAAACTGAAAAAAATTTGATTCAAATAATCACTTAACTATTATCAAATAAATATTTATTTGTATTAAATAAATTATTATGAGTCAATTAAATGGTATTTGTTTCAAATACAGAAATTATTGCTTCAAATAGTTTATTTAATTCAATTATTTCAAAAATTATTTGGTTCAAGTAAACTTGATAATAGCCAATTAATCGATTATTTGAATCAAATTATTTTTTTCACTTTGAGTTTATAATTAATTGTTTAATTAATAATTACAATTATTTTGTTATTATTTTAATTTTTTAAATCATTAGATTGAAACAAGTGTGGAAATTTATTTCCTGTTTTCACTATTTATATTTTTATCAAAAGAAATTGAAACGAGAAATATTGAAAAACTTTTTTTAAAAATTTCAAAAAAACACTTGATTGAAATTAAAATAAATTTTTAAGGAGTCAAATTTAATTAACAAACAAAATTAATTTAATAAACAGATGTTAATTTTTAGAAATGAAAAAGATTGAAATACAAATTAAAAATATGATTAATTAAAATAAAAATCAATATAGAAATAACTTACTAACAATATATTTCTTTAATTTTTAAGATTAAATTTTTTTTTATAAGAAATTATTTAATCTTTAATCAAAAAAAAAAAATATAATATATATGTGCGTTTATGTGAAAAATTGTAGTTTATTAATGCCCAACCGCCTGATGTTTCGTTTGCCGATCATGGCACGCTATTCATATACTCTAAAGAACCGGTTCAATTTGAACCGGTTTTATATTGCTGGAAATTCGACTGAAGATTCAGGCCCACACAAAATTATACTTTACTCTTAATTCTAAGATGAAACTAAATTAGAAATTTGCCAAAATATTGATAAAACTATTATAATATCGCACATTAATTTAATTTATAAATTTTCTAATTTTTAATAATATTAAAACTATTGCTTTTTATTAGATATATAAATTTAAAAAATATTCTCTATTATTTAAAAATTTATTTCATATTCTCTAGCTGTTTTGTTTGTTAATTAATTTTTATCCTTAAGAATTAATTTCATTTTTTATTGAAATATGTATAAAATAATTTTTTAAATTCTATTTTTGTTATAGAAGTGTTTTTTTGGAAAAATTTCAGTTTTGGTTTTGTGTAAAATTTCAAAAAAGACAAAATTATTTAATTTTTTAAATGTATCTTATAATTCCGAAATTAAAATATTAAATTTTTGGTAATTTTTTAATGATATCTTCAAAAAGAGTCAAATTTTAAGAAAATAGTTCCTGAAATTGCCTCTCGATAGCACCACCTTACAGATCATAATTTTCAACTCTACTTATTCTAAAGTGAATAATTATTTTAAAAAATGTAATTCCCTTACTATTTATTAATAAATTTTAAAATTCTTTGAATGTCTGCAATTGTAATTTATTTTTTAATAATGTTCAAATAAAAAATAATTTTCCCGCTTCACGTGAGAGGCGGGAAATTACAACCAATACGGTACAATCTTAGTCAAAAAATGTTAATTGATTGGTGAAAATATTTCTACTCATTTCATTAATTATTTTCTATAATTTTAAATTTACAATAACAATTTATAAAAAAAATAATTAATTTATGAATTAGAATTAAAGTTTATTAAAAATAAATTTTGAGTAATTTAAAGTACAATTTAAAAAATTCAAATATTTTCAGTTCTATTACCAACTTTAGAAAAGGTAATTTTTAACAAAACAAAATCAACAAAACGAATGACATTCGGGATGTCCTGATGATGTAATATATTATTGTATGACATGGCAGTCAATAGTTATAGCTGACAATGACACATCATCAAGAGTGCAAAAACTATCGAAAAACTATTAAAGAATTTTTTAAGACTATATATAATTTATTTATGTGACGATTAATTGTCACACAAAAACAACTGGTGAAGGGTTATATTGTTAAAAAATTGTGAGAATTTTAAAGCCATATTTATAAGTTTTTTTTTTCTAAATGTTATTGTGAATTTAGTACTTATTTTTAATTTTTCTTAATTTCTTTAATTTTATTTTCCTACGTGATTCTTTTTTGTTTCTATTATTTTCTATTTTTTAACTTAATATAACCTTTAAATGTCAACAAAATTCCCCGTTTTTGAGAAGACTTGACACAAAATTTTAGATTTGATAAATTTTTAAATGTTAATATAGAATTTCCATTATTGAAAAAAAAATTTAAATCAATATTGCAAAAACACATTCATGATTTTAGAATATAAAAAATTAAATTTAGAATCATTTTACTGTGTATTAGGTAATATAAAAATATAACATATTTATGTAATTCTTAATTTAAATTTTTTTAATTAATTTATTATTTATTTTAGTGTTTTTACTTTATATGATTGTGCCATATTTAATTATTTATTTATGTTTATAATAATTTTTTAATTAAAAAAAATAAAATTTTTTATAAATACAATAATATTGTTTATATATCACCGGTGTTTAGTGCCATTTTAAAATTTTTTTAATCATTAGAATGAAACATGTGCGGGAATTTCCTTTTTGTTTCCTATCAATGTGGAGTGAAAATCAACAAGCATCAAAGCTACTAACAATTTACGGTTGCATCAGACTGTCAGACTCTTTGAAGCTTTCATTGATATAACGTCACAAAAAAAACTGGGAATTTCTTTAATTTAGTAAATTAACACAAGAGGTACGTACAAATTTTGATTTTAATTAAATTTCGTTTTTTATTTTCCACTTTATAATTAGTGAATTAGTAATTTTTTAATTTTATATATTTGATTGTTTTTTTCAATTGTATTGCAAAAGGTTATAAAATATATCGAATTTTTTAAAATTTACCACATGGTAGTAAGTGAATTTTTCAAAATTTTTAAAAAAATTTTTTAAATTTGTTCATTAATTATGTTTATTAATTTGCTGATTAATCTCCTGGGTTATTTTTATTCTTTAATTTTATTTATTTAATTTTTGTGATTTTATTTCTTTTATTTAAATTATTATACTCTTTTTTTTAAAATTTTAAAAGTAAAAATTATTTAATCAATTTTAAATTATTAAGTTTTAATTTTTTTTATTATTTTATACAAAAAATCGCATTTAGATATTCTTATTAGATTTTAATTAAAGAGTTTTAAGTGATTTACATTTTATATGTTATTACGTCTAATTTCAATGTTCTACCTAATTTACATTACAAATTTACGTCATTAAATTACACAAATGTTATTATTATTCATATTGATTGTTCAATAATTTTCATTATCTCTTGGTACATATTTGAATTTTATGACGTTTATACTATATAATTTCAAATAATTGTCAAAGAATTAAAAGATAAATAATAAAAAAAAAAAACATGTTAATATAAAGTAAAAACAAAAAAAAGTAAAAGAATTCAATTTTCAGATTTAAGAATGTGGGTGTTTGGCTATGGATCGTTAATATGGAAAGCCGATTTTCCATATGAAAAAAAAATTGTCGGATACATAAAAGGATATGTTCGAAGGTTTTATCAAAAGAGTGTTGATCATAGAGGTGTACCAAATAAGGTATGTTATAATTAAAAGTTAAATTAATTTAGTTCAATTATTATTGATTTTTCTTATAATTCACATAAATATTTATAGAAATAAAAGAAAATTATCAATAAAAATAAACAATTAATCTAATCAATTGTAACTAGTATGAGGAAACAAATTCTATTGTGTATATAAATATATTCTAATAAAAAATATCTAATTTTAGCCTGGTCGAGTGGTGACATTAATGGCATCAAGAAATCCGGAAGACGAAGTGTGGGGCGTTGCTTACAAAATTTCAAAAGACAATATCGATCATGTTGCTAAACATTTGAATTCACGTGAAAGTGGATATGAAAGAAGAACTGTTTTATTTAATCCATGTAAAACTGTGGGAACAATCGATGGGGATTTATTAAATAGCAATATTACATCAAATATATTAATCACAAAAAATTCATCAACTATTACACTATCGGATACAGATGAATTGCCTTTTCATGTAACAGTCTACATAAGTAGAGAAGATAGTCCCCTATTTACGGGGACAGAAGATTTAAATACAATTGCAAATCATATATTAGAATGCTGTGGTCCAAGTGGACCAAATATAGAATATTTGTACAAATTAGCAGCTGCGATGCGACTTATTGCTCCAACAATAAATGATGAACATTTATATTCACTCGAAGAGGCGGTGAAAAAGTTAGAAGTGGAGAAACAGTATTATTCTAGTTAGTAAATTTTCTATATATATATAAATATAAATTTAATATATCTAAAAAAAATAATATGAAAAATCAATTCTAATTATCTCGTCTGTTTTCCAAATAAAAAAGTTTTTTATATTTAAAATTTATTTTCTTATTCATTTCCCTCTCTTTTTATAATTGTCACTTTAAAGTAACAATAATTTTGTTTATTATTGTCAAATGAAATCAATATAAAATAATTTTTTAAAAAAAACTCTCAATTTCAATCAGTGAATAATATCATTGATTCAAATTTTAAAAGAGTACAATATAGTGACACGAAAAATTTTAATTCATGCGCTTCATGCAAAAGAAAATATTTATCCTCACCAAAAATAATTTCCGATTTCCCTACCTACAGCTATATTTAAAACGAAAATTATGCATCACACTCATGGAAAAAAAATTTCTCTCTAACTATATTTAAGAAACTGAAAATTCGTATTAGATTTTTTATATTATAATTGACATTTAATTAAATTATCATTTAATAAAAAATTATTTTTTTTTTACAAAAATTGAAATTAAATTTTCAAATTGTAAAAAATTTATAGGTATTACTAATAATTTTTTAATAAAAACAAATAAAATTCTAAATTCTTTAAAGTGCAATTTAAAAGAGAAATATGTTCAATAAAATTAAATTAAAAATATGTAAACAAAACATGAAATATTGTAAAAACTTGAAAGACTGACACAAATATTGTTTTTTTTAATTAGAAAATTAATTGGAAATTTTTTTTCTCTATAGTTAAAGAGAATAATTAAGATAAAACAATAAAATTAATAATAATATAACAATAAAATAGTAATTAAGAAATTATTTGTCAGTTGTGTCACTATATTGTTAAAATTAAAAAAAACTCACAGATCATTTATTCCCTCACCGAAAATGTTGAAGAGATAGAGCAGCATTTGCTCAAAGATCCTCTTCTTTTCCAATGAATTAATTAATTAATCTTTTAATCAGCCGCTTTTCCTCTTGCAAATCCACCATTATGCTTCCTTTTCTTCTGAATTTTTCACTTGAATCCAGGAAGAATGTCCTCACAATTTGAAGAAAATTTAGCTGCGAAAAAGGTTTGTACTTTAGTTTCAAATTTTTAATTTTTAACATTAAATTATTGTCATTGAACGATCAATAATTTAATAAACTTTCGAAACAAAATGTAAAAAAAATTTAAAGATATAATGAAAATATTTTTTTATATTACCACTTATTGATCATTGCTAAAATTAAAAATTAGCAATTTCATTTTGGAACTGAAATCAAAAATTGTTAATTATAATTCCTGAAAAAAATTACTTAGCAACCTATAATGTTAATAAACTAAAATATAAAATTCGAAACATTACTTTAATATTAAATGACTATTGAAAAATTAAATCGAAATATTTTTAATATTGTAAAACAACTAAAATTTATTCAATAATTTATCATTTTTTAATTTATTATAATATTAAAGACAGAAGAGACTTACTAATTTCATTAATTGTTTTTAAATCAGAAAGTTAATTGAAAATTTTGTTCTCTAGTTACAGAGAACATTAAACATAAAATAATAAAATTAATAATAAAGAAATAATTTCTGTCAGTTGTTGCACTATATTGTTAAAATTAAAAAGACCCACCGATTAATTATTTCCTCCAAAAGGCTAGTTAACACAAAAGGCTAATTAACAAGAAGAAGAAGAAGAATTATTCCCTCGTCGAAAATGTTGAAGTGCCAGAGCAGCATTGCTCAAAGATCCTCTTCTTTTCAAATGAATTAATTAATTTTTTAATCAGCCGCTTTTCCTCTTGCAATTCCACAATTATGCTTCCTTTTCTTCTGAATTTTTCACTTGATCCAGGTAGAACGTCGTCATAATTTGAAAAAAATTTAGCTGCGAAAAAGGTTTGTACTTTAGTTTCAAACTTTTAATTTTAACATATCTTTTATTAAATTACCGTCACTAAACGATCAATAATTTAATAAACTTTCTAAATAAAGTTTAAAAAAAACTAACTGGAAAAAAGTTAAAGAGATAATGAAAACATTTTTTTACATTACCATTTATTGAACATTGCTAAAATTAATCAAAATTAGCAATTTCACTTTGGAACTGAAATCAAAAATTGTTAATTATAATTCCTGAAAAAAAACCTACTTATCAGCAACCTATTCTGTTAATAAATCAAAATATGAAATAAAATTCAAAGCATTACTTTAATATTAAATAACTATTGATAAATTAAAATTTAAATATTGTAAAACAACGAAAATTTATTAAACAATCTATTTTTCAATTTATTATAATATTAAAGACAGAAGAGACTTACTAATTATTAATTCACGTCGACTTGAAGAAATCTTCATAATAGCTCTCCAGAAAATCGAAATATTTGCAGGAATCATTTTAACCCTTCAATTATTTTTAGTGCAAAAACTGAAACACAATAATGCAAAAAGTAGAATTATTAAAATTGAATTTAGAAATAAATTAATTGTAGAAAATTAAGTACAATTGTACTGAATTTTTGCAAACTAAAATAATCTCCGAGAATAAAAAATGAATCACAAATTTGTATCTTCCTTAACATAACCTATAAAAATGCAAAATAATTAAAATCTATTATTTAATTCGAATATTTCATTAAAAACTTATGAAAAAGTATCTTTTATCAAAATAAAAATCTCAAATTTTTCCCTCCATATATCTAACCTCTATATGAATGGACTAACGAGTTTGAACAAGTTGCACTTTATGATACTCGTAATTGAGACAATTTTTATCAAAAACAATAAAATCTCTAATAATTTAATTATTATGAATTAATGGGAATTTATAGAAAAATTACAACAATTTTTACATTCTTGCTACCAATAACAATACCCCTTACACCCAACAATCATAAAATTTATATCGTTCGTATTTATACGCATATGCACATGTTTTAGGCAACATTCAATAAATAAGTTATTTTTAATCAATTATTTACAAGAATTTAGTAATTTTTACCACTTTTAAGACTAAAAATGAACGAAATGAACACATACCAAAATTTAGGTTAAGAAAGCACTCACCAAGCTAAATCTAATTTCCTCGTCAAAGATGTATCGACTTTCATTTATATGATACTAAATATGAAAATAAAACTATCACTCTTTTCAAAAATAGTTAACACATATAAAAACTTTATAAAATGTGTAAAATTATTGCAATTTTTAGCAGAAAAAACTGAGAAAATGACCGTTAACAATAAAACTGAGCTCGCGCGCTCATAGTGAGGGCGGAAATGACGCTAATTCTGAACTTATCACGTGACCAACTTCTGATTGGTTGCTTTAAAAGCGCGGCAAATTTTCTTATATTTAAATCACAATAATGCTTAAATGCGTAATTCAACACTTAATTGTTGTTTATATTAATTATTTATCTATTATATACCGAAATTAAAATTAGAAAACTTGTATTGTCTAAAATTATGCCTAATTAAACATATTAAACTACCTATAAAGCGATTCAGCAAATAAACACAAACATTTCGATCGTAGCGCCTATAACTGGTGGTGATTTACAGAAACAATTTTTCCTTCAAAGCGTTTATACAACATTTTATTGGAGAGTTTCAAGAATTAATTTAAACACTATTTGCACATGCGCGAAATTAAAAAAAACAGTTTTTATGATTTTTATAATGGAGGCCACACAATCTTGTGAATAAAACAGTATTTTTGAAACGTTTTCTCTTTAGATAGTGTTTATAAGCTACTAATTAATTTAGAGGAAATAGAGTGAATAACAAGTTGTACGTATTTGATCGATAACTTATGTGGAAAATTTAAAAACATGAGGGTTGCTCAAAAATTAAATTTTGAAGCATGTGACGAGGACGATCACAACATTAACAGTTCGGGATGCGGTGATGATATTTCTGATTCTTCTATTGATGATTTATATATATCACCTATAACACAGCCAGGAAAATCGGCTTTTAATAATTTAATGGACTGCGGTGATTATGAAACAATTCAATCCTATTCAAGGAATAATCATTTTCCTGCTACCACTTCAATGACAGGTTAGATTTCCTTTCTTTCCATTCAATAACCTTGTAACAAAGAATCATGTCTCATGTTTATTTTTTATGTATTTTTTAAAAATTCTCCGAAGAATTAAGTTTTATATTTTCAAACATTCAAATTAAATTCTTTACATTTAATTTTTTTTTTTTAAATTTAATAATTTATTATTAACCAATTAAGTTATCAATTATCTAATTAAAATTAAATTATTCTCCTTTTTATACCAATCATCTCAACTAATTGACTATTAACTACTTTAAATATATTTTAATGAATTATTTAAAATATTGAAGTTTAGACGTAATTGACAAAAAACAGTTTTAATTTCAATTTTAAATTATTGCGTGTAAAATATTTGATATTTTGTGTCTTTTGACAAATATTTACACAATATTTTAAATTGATTAATTATATTCTAGGTAGGGCATTCATTGTGTCATTTTTTGAAAAATAATATTTGTATAATTTAAAATTATATTCTATAATAATTTGAATATGTATTTTAATGAAATGAATAACGTACCTAAAGAATTGAAATTAAAAAGTAATTTTTTCGATAGTGCATTGTCATCAATTTTAAAATTAATTTTTACTTTAATACTATTGCTGAAGAATTATTTGTTTATGCAACAGTTGTGTTTTTTTTGCAGTGTCGGATTTTAATAATATATTTCTATTTTTAAAGAAAACAATTATTCCAATCAAATATAATTTTTTTCAATAAAAATAACAATAATTAATATCTACGTAGAATTTTTCTGATAATGAAAATTAAATTAAAAAATTAAATTCTTATTTTAGCATCTAGTGAAATAAGGATTCCACTTCGGGAAAGTGGATCACCTAAAAAAATGTCAATGGCTTGCAGTCCTCCTTACAAAAGAGTTCGAGCACTTCGACTTTTTGATTCACCAGCAACTCCTAGGACTATAATAGAAAAAAGTGTATTTCACACACCAGTACCCTATAAATGTTCGAGACTTTTTTCCATTGATAAATCACGTGCCAAAGTTACTGGTTTTCAAAATAAAACAGACAAACCTGCAGCTAATGTTAATCCATTTACACCAAATGGCATGTTATTAAATGCCAAAAAAAGAACTAGATCTAAACGAAATCTTCACGAGTACGTAATTAATATATAAACCAATATTTTTAAATTATAATTAATTATTATTTTCATTAAATAAATTTATTAATTTTCAGAACGTCGTCAGATATTGAAGTTCCTAAATTTGAACTTGATTCCGAGGATTCTGACAGTGAATTAGAGCAACCGACAAAACGTGTTGCTCTTCAAGACTCGAATATTCCTCGATATCGACAAGAATTTTTGGAACTTGGAATAATTGGTTCAGGTGAATTTGGATCAGTTTATAAATGTATTAATCGATTAGACGGCTGTACGTATGCAGTGAAAAAAAGTTTAAAACCCGTTGCTGGCAATGTTAATGAAAAAAATGCATTAAATGAAGTTTATGCTCATGCTGTTCTTGGAAAACATGAAAATGTTGTAAGATATTATTCAGCATGGGCGGAGGATAATCATATGATTATTCAAAATGAATATTGTAACGGTGGTAGTCTCGCTGATGCGATATTGACACAAGAAAAAGAAAAGAGATTTTTCTCTGAATTAGAAATACGACAATTGCTATTCCATGTAGCGAAAGGACTTCGTTATATTCATAGTATGCATCTTGTTCATATGGACATTAAACCGGGGAATATATTTATTTCAAGGGAGAAAAAATTAAGTGCTATGAATGATGATTCGGCAGATGATGGTTTTGATGAGGAAGAAACAGTTGAAGAGGAAGTTACATATAAAATTGGTGATTTTGGACATGTTACGTCAATAAATAATCCTCAAGTTGAAGAGGGTGATTGTCGATATTTACCAACGGAAATACTTCACGAAGATTTTACGCATTTATCAAAAGCTGATATTTTTGCATTGGGATTGACGGTTTATGAAGCTGCTGGTGGTGGTGCTTTACCAAAAAATGGTCCCGAGTGGCATAAAATTAGAAATGGTGAATTAAAAGAACTACCTCGTTATAGTAAAGATCTCAATGATTTGCTTAAGGTAATTTTTATAATTAAAATTTATAATAAACCTCCATAATCAAAAATATATGATAAAATTAATTTTTATAATTACAGTTGATGATTCATCCTAATGCTGAGATGAGGCCTTCGGCATCATGTCTTATTCAGAATAAATTACTTTCAACTAAAACCAAAGTTCAATTACGTCGTGAACCTGATGGGGAAAAACATAAGAACGAGGATGGTAAAAATGGACCAAACGATATTGACATGAATGATGGAATTAGTAAAAATTTCAGTGGTTACCAATTGAGACCAACACCAACAAGAATGTCATCACGTGTGATAGGTAAAAAAGTCAATCGAAGCCATAGCACAATTTTCTAAGTGTCATATCATTTTTTTTTATAAAAAAATGATTACTGAAAATTAGGCCGAAAAAAAAACTTGTTATTCAAGAAGCGGTACCCATTGGTGCCTTTATATTGTGATATCGTTAGTTCTAGATCATAAGCAAAATCTTGGTTTGGATAATACGGTATTCAGAGTGAAATTGCCCAATTTGATAATTTTCTCAAATCTCTAACTTATATTTTAAATATTACATTTTTTTCAAATTTAATGTTTAAAAAGTGATAAAAGATTTATTCAATCATTTTATCAGATCAGATTGTTTATACTTCAAATCCACAGTAAAAAAAAAAAAAATTGGATTAAAAGTAACAAATGTGCTTCCAAAAGAAAAGAATTTAAAAAAAAAAGTTGATGCTAAATTGTAGACAAAAGGCTTTTCAAGCTTTCAATGACAATTTTAAATTTAGATGTGAATTTAAAAGTAGTTAATTAATTTTTGAAAAATTTAGCAATTTAACTCTGCATGACCAGGAATGTTGAAGTGTTTTTTTAAAAATTATTTTTATAGAAATTGTATTCGGACCGATTCTTAGTCGACGTTGAAATTTGTCTTATTTAATTATTGGTATTTCTAGTATCTAGGATTTAATCGCGTTGTTTTTTTTTTTTTTTTTTGGCAAATGTTTTTCAATTTCTAATTATTAAGAATGTTTCATATAAAATTTACATTTATGACATTTCTTTTCAAAGAAAGACATCAATTTTTCAATGAATTATTTCAATCGCGTTATATATTTTCAAACGCGTGTATTTTTGGTTTTATATTAATTTTCTGAAAAAAAAAAACTTATTTAATATTACAATTTTTTGTCTTTCTTACTTTGATTTGTATAATAATTAATTATACAAAATATGCTGCTTTTACAAGCGCTCATTATTCTATTTAAAAAATTGTAATTTACTTAACGAGATAACTTTTACAAGTACATCTTGGAAAATAATTGCATGTGATTTTGAATTTGGAACCAGTTTCTCAGAATTTTACTATCAAATATAATTCTGTCGCAGGATTAAATTTTGCAAATATTCATTTTAAATGAAGGATGAAATTATAGATTAAAAAAAAAAAAAAAAATTAATTAAATTGTAAAAAAAAGACGCTTTCATTAATAATTTTTAACTGCTTACCAAGGAGAAGCGACTCCGTAAGGTAAAATAAAATCGCATTTATATTTTAATACGACGTGATTAATATTGTTTTCAGTTCACTTAATAATATCATTAACATGATTACAAAAATAAAAAGATTTGATTTAAATCAACTAATTTATGTTTTCTTGTAGCCTTTACGTTAATTATTAATTACTTTTTAAATATTTTAAATGACCAATTCATTAAAATGTGAATTTTATTATTACTAAAACTAATTATTATTTTTTATATAAAAATTAATTAAGAATAATTATGTATAATAAAACAATTATTGTAAAAAAAATTAAAAAAAAAAAAACTTACCGAACGCGGATTCCAAGCCGAAATAATGTGCAGTAGCTTATTTTGGACCAGCAGCATCCAGCCAGCAGTTAATTTTCTTCCTGGTCCTTGAATTCTGCAAAAAAAAAACATATTAATTAAAAATTTATTGCTATCTTATGGCATATTACATACATGGCCTACTTATATATGATTAAAAGGGATTAAATGTAAAATAACAAGAATTCGAAAAATTGTTTAAATAATAGATTAAATTATTGAAAAAAACATTACTTTATTTTTTAAATTACGGACAAATGTCCATTTAAACACGAATTTGACGTGAAAATATCTGCATATCGTAATTTTTAGGTTAAGTTTTTGTCGCAAAGAAATTTGTTCGATTTATACATTTATCTCGTACTTACCAATAAAACTTATTTAATATATAAAATATTTGAACAAATATGATCTTAATTAATGTAATATATTTATAAACAATGAACAGATGTATAAAATATAATTAGATTTAATATTTCTTTTCACAAGGTATCTGCTCCTTCGCTCCATTGCTCTATGCAGAAATGCCAACCCAAGATAAAAAAAAATACCAACCTCCTTTGCATGTCTACCAACATGAATCTATAAATGTTTTTTCGTGTTTATTTATTAGCAAATAATATCAATTAATTCGAATGTAAGATTATGGACGATGCATATTAATTCAGTATAATTAATATTACAATTAAAAATTAATATTTAATCCTTGCATTTTGAACAATAAAGTCACTAAATTTTCACTAGAGCAGGGTGCGGTAGTTGAGAATTATGACAAGACAATGGAAACCAACCTTAACGTATGGCGGAATATTTGAATTGAGAACCACTATGCGCAATGAAGTGCGCAAATGATAAAATTAAGGTAAAGTGAAAGTTAACCTCACTCCTCAAACTGTTAGCGTCTATTAGGTTACAATTACAATGATTAGAATGAAAATATTAGTATAAAAAATTATTATTCTAATTTATTTATTGAAAAAAGTTTTTCAATTATATATTTATCTGTTTAAGAGAAAAATAATCATATATTTATAATTAAAACAATTTGCGGCAAAACAAGGTAAGTTTAATCTTTTTGCATGTCATTTTCAAAAAAGATATATTTGAATTTCAAAATTATTACACAAATTTATTATTTTATTTTTAAAAGACAAGCAATTTTATTTATAAACATAAAAATGTTATTTTAAAATTTTTTTAAAAATGTATGCTTTCTTTTTTATTTGAAATTATTTCTATAGAATATAATTCACAGAGTTAGAATTTAATTTATATATACTTTCAATTAATTTTTATAGGAAAATTAAATTATTATAATGGCGAAAGTAGACGCGGAAATTATTGAATTAATTTCCGACGAGGAAACAGAGAATGATAAGAGAAATGATAAAAAACTGAAAACATGCAATGTGAATTGCATTAATTTTCAATGTACTTCTGGAGTTAATATGAAAATAGCTCCAACGTTTGCTTGCACATTTTATGGTGTAAATACAGCTAAAAAGAAAAAGCGTTTAATTTGTGAAAAATGTCTCAATGATTCTATAGAACATCAACAGATACTTGTTAATTCTTTTTTGGATCGAAAACCATTATTAAAATGTGAATTTCCTGATCATACAATGGAAGTAGAAATTTCTGATAGTGATGATTCGGATACTGAGAGCAAAACAGATGACAATGAAGGTAAGAATTTTTTTTTTTCTTTAACTCTTTCAAAACAAATTTTAAAATTAATGAAAAATTTTAGATGATTTCTTGCCAGAGGAATTTCTTTTGGATCTTGAGCAAAAATTAGACGTATCATTGGCTTCAATTAGTTCGAAATATGATATTAAATTTCAAGTTGAACAAGCACAAAAATGCCTTAGTACACAATGGGACAATATACAGAGTAAGTATAACTGAAAATTTTAGTTTTTTTTTTCTATTTAATTAATTTTTTCAGCTGACAATGATAAATTGGACAATGATATAAAAGATCTAATGAATAAACTCGATAAATTACGAAATTCACTATATGAAGAATTTAAACCAACTATTAAAATGATGGAAGATCTTACAATTTGTGATGGTGTACAGGATAATAATCAATTTCCTCTTGTTGCAACGAAAAAAGTCACACAAATTCGTAATACACCAACAGTGTCAGCGCCATTGGATAATCAACCAATTATTTTGGAAGAAATTGAAAGAGATACAGTTAAGGCTGCTGCCGATTTACCACCACTTGGTCTTCTTGTTAAACCCGTTCCCGATGTTGATACCGCTGTTTTAATTATGAAACACGCTTTAATCCCCTGGTTAAAAGCGAAGGTTTGTTTTTTTTTTTTTTATTTACAACTAAAAAAGTTAATTCAATTTTAAATTTCCTAAATTTTCCAGGTAATAACAGTACTTAATAAAAATCCAACTCAATATAAAGTGAAATTAAATGCAAAAAAACATAATCATGCAATGAAAATTGTATCTGGAAAACAAGTTGCAATTGCACAGCCGAGTCCTGTTATTATTCCCGTTTCCACACGTGTCGTTGCACTATTTCAAGATGTGAATTCAAATAATTTTTACAGTGGTGTCATTGCCGAACCACCGAAATCAACGAATAAATATCGGTAATTTTTGATTGAATTTTAGAAATTAAAAATCAGAAATTAAAATTGTTTTTTTTTAAAGGTACTTGGTATTTTTTGATGATGGTTACGCGCAGTATGTAATTCACAAGAATATTTGCCTCGTGTCGGAAAGTTCAGCACAAGTTTGGGAGGATGTGCCAAGTCCATCGCGTGATTTTGTGAAAAAATACATGGAATCATATCCAGAGAGGCCAATGGTAAAATTACAAACTGGTCAAGTGGTGAAAACCGAATGGAATGGAAAATGGTGGATAGCACGTGTCATACAAGTCGATGCAAGTTTAGTTCAAATGCATTTTGATGCTGACAATCGAACAGAATGGATTTATCGTGGTTCTGCTCGTTTGGGTCCACTTTATGTTGAATTACTCAAGGCAAATGCAAGACAACAGGGAACGCACGCCACGGCAAATGCTCCGGCGCGTCATCGACTTCCACTTTCATCCAATGTTAGTCTCTAAATTATTTTTTAATTATTAATTATTTTTTATACATTCTTAAATTATTTTATCATTCTGAATTTCAGAAACAAGGAATGCCATACGTTGAATATACATCGTCAACTGATCAAGACGATTTTCTAAATCGAAAAACAGATCAAAAACAAGGGGCTAACGTTTCAAATGCCAATCGATCAATTGATAAAATTATTCAAGATACGCCATTTGTTCAACCGCAACAACAATCGCGTGCAGTGGCAAAGAAAAGTACAGCGAAAAAGCCAATTGTTCCTGAACCAACTTATCAGCCACCAACTGAAACAAAACCATCACACAGTATTGTTGTAAGTTTTCTATTTTTTATTTTTCTCAACTTGTTAATTAATTTCCTTTTTTTACTTTCAGTATTATCAGACACAAAATCGAACGAGTCCAAAGAGATATATACCACACAAATGTGCACCAAAATGCCTCGAGGGTTGTTCATTTACGCCTGAAGATTTAAAGGGATATTCACCATTATCAATTCCATTGCTTTGCGGTTGGAATAGACAATTATGTAAATTTTCTAAAGGTAAAAAAGTCACTGTCTATCAATCACCGTGTGGTAAACGTCTACGTAATATGGAGGAATTACATCAATATTTACGTATCACTTGCAGTCCAATGTCTGTCGATTTATTTGAATTCGATCATTGGGTTCATTGTCTCGCTGAATTTGTCCTTGATAAATGTTTCGTTAACATTAAGGTGAGTTTTGGAAAATTTAAATAGTAATTTTTAATTAAAAATTGATAAATCATTTCAGGATCTTAGTTATGGTGCTGAAAATGTTCCAATTCCCTGCGTTAATGAAATTGATCACGCTTTACCCGATACAATTAGATACAGTACACAAAGAGAACCAACCGAAGACGTTCATCTTAATTTGGATCCTGATTTTTTGTGCTGTTGCGATTGTACCGACGATTGTCAGGTTTGTTTAAATTTGGAAAATTTACTGTTTGTAAATAAATCATTAAAACAGAATAATTTATTTGGATTTCTTTCAGGATAAAGAAAAATGTCAATGTTGGCAATTAACAAATCGAGGAGCGACTCTTGGAGGAAGAGTTCCAAACACAGCGGTTGGTTATGTTTACAAACGACTTCCTGAACCAGTGACAACTGGTATTTATGAATGTAATTCAAGATGTAAATGCTCTGTAAAAACGTGTTTAAATCGCGTTGTTCAACATCCTTTAACGTTAAAATTACAAGTATTTAAAACCGCTCCTCGTGGTTGGGGAATAAGATGTCTCAATGATATTCCACAAGGCTCGTTTATTTGCATCTATGCGGGAAGATTGCTCACTGAACAAGTACGAAAACTAGTTTAAACTATTTTATTAATTATAATAATTAAATTCATTATTAGCAATTTTAATTTCCATTTTTTTCAATTTCAGGGAGCGAATGAGGGAGGAAAAAATTACGGCGATGAATATCTCGCTGAACTCGATTACGTGGAAGTCGTTGAAGGAATTAAAGAAGGTTACGAGGCTGATGTTCTTGATCCTGAACTTGAATTAGCTAATGATTCGGGCAGAAAGGATAACATAAGCGATGAGGATGATACAAGTAAACCTTCTGGTTATGAGTCTGATGAAGATTTTGATATCACTAAATATCGTGACGATCCAAATCTTAGATTGAAGGACATTGGAGAAGATAATACACCAATTCGGTAAGAATTTTATTTTTTTTTTGTTTTGTTTTGGAAACAATTTATTTTTATCATTTTTTTTTAACAGTAAGCGACTGAGGAAACGTAAAAAGGGAGAAAAGCCAAAGGAAGATGATGATGAGAGTGAAAAAAATAAATCAAAATCCAAATCATCATCAAAACCAGATTTCGATAAATCAGAAAGTAGAGATTCAAATTACGATACAATAACGCTCAGTGATGAAGATGAATCGAAGCGGCGTGAACCGGGTAAACTCGATTTGACTGTTGAAGCACAAATCGATCGGCCAAATTACAAGTCGGTACGTGACTTTTTTGGCGAAGATGAGGCCGTTTATATCATGGATGCCAAAACCACGGGAAATATTGGACGTTATTTGAATGTGAGAATAAATTTCTTTTACCGAAAAATTAAAAAAAAAATTTATATAAAAAATCATCATTTTTCTTTCTTTTTTTTTTAGCACTCCTGTGATCCAAATGTATTCGTTCAAAACGTGTTTGTGGATACTCACGATGTAAGATTTCCCTGGGTGGCTTTCTTCGCTCTACATTACATAAGAGCTGGTCAGGAATTAACTTGGAATTATAGTTACGATGTTGGAAGTATACCAGGCAAAATGATTATCTGTAAATGTGGATCTTCAAATTGCAGAGGTCGACTCTTATAAATTTCCTTAATTATAATTATGCGTTTTTTTTCACAAGATCTCGGTAACTATTTAATCATTTTTTTTTTTAAATGTGTACACATACGTTGTTTATAGTAAATAGAAAAAATGTTTTCACATTCAATTAAAAAAAAAACAGTTCTTTTTTCACGATTAAAAGAATTTGTTTTTCTTCTGTGTAAATACTCTTTTAAATTATTCAACTATACGTTTGTATTTAATTTTGCGAAACAATAAAAATATTAAAAAGTATTTAAACAATTTTCATTAATTTTTCTAATGGGAATTTTAAAGAGCAGTTAGTTGTATTTTTTTTTACTAAATATATTATTAAAACAAGGTCTTACACATCTTAGATGTAAATTACAAAGGTTTGAGTGTGTGTTCTTTTCTAAAAAATAAATCGGAAAGATTTAATTTCTTTTTTTGTCTGTAAAAGAACTAATAAACTATTTCGAACTTATTGAAATAGGTATCGCGAAAAAATTATTTTTGCGACTCTAGGCAGGAAAACAATTTTAGGTCGCGATTACTCGAAGCGAGTATTATATATTTTTTTTTAATTATGTATATATATTATAAACCTACACTATATAGCTTCATACCTTTTTTTTGTGTGTAAGTTACATAAATATACAATATATATATATATATATAGATGTCTGACAGAATGCGAGAAGAAGTCAATAACGAAGCGACAATATTATCCTATAAGGAACGTGACGTATCTATTATTATTATTTTTTTTTTAAATATGTAACAAAATTGTTAAATTTTTCTTTTTTTTAAAGTGTTTTGGTTTTGTATTGCTCCAAGAGCTCTTTAATTTCTTCTTTCTCGGCTGCATCCAAATAGCTCGTACCATCAGGTGTTACACCATTTGGTCGTGCCCCTTTCTCCAATAATAATTTCACACAATTTGTGTGTCCTTCCCATATTGCAGCCAAAAGTGTCGTGATACCGTGTTTATCTCTCGCCTGAATATTTATTTATTTTTTTTTTCAATAATTTTTTCAAATAAATCTTAAATTTTAATTACTAACAAAACATTTAATTTTTCATCCACAGGTATATTTGGAATTATTATAATTTTCAGATAAAAGTAATTTAATTGAAAATAATAAAGCAAAAATTGACTTACATTAGCGTCAGCACCCTTTTCTAAAAGGTAACCGAGAACATCACTTTGACCATAATCCGCTGCATAGTGCAATAACGTCCTTCCATTAATTAATTTATTAACATCCATATCCTGTAAACAAATAATTCTTGTTAATGACTTGATCACTTTCTTTTTTTTTAAATAAACATTCTTAATTTCCAATTATCTTCACAAAATTTATGAAAATACATATTTAAATTACATTTTAATTACATTTCAAATAATTGATTGTTTTCATTAAAACAAAAAATGACAGGGGAAAAAAAGTATCTGTCAACTTCGTTTAAAAATGCACTATTTATCATTTGATAGTGTAAAATTCTATTCCCAAACAATAATCAATGTTAATAAAAAAAATTTAAACAAATAAACAATTATTAAAAACAATAATGATATATATATATTCTTAAAAAGGAAAAATGCGACATTTTTTCAACACACCTTATTCTCTACAATGTCTCGAACCTGATCCAGGTCACCGTTCTTTATTCCCCACACAAGTTCATTCATTTTGACTGATGATTAAAAACAAATTTTTTTTTTTTTGATTGATTGAATATAAAGATATAGAATTTGTTTATTTATTTAAATAAAATACACTTCCATTAGTTTTGATTGTGCCGAATTTACACTGAATTGGCTGATTGGCAGCTGAACCAGGGATGAGAAGTTGTGAATTACTATGTTATTTTACGTAAATACACCTATCACCGTATAAAGAACCGTAAATTTTGCTGTAATAATATGTAAATTTGTTTACTATTTTTAACTTCCAAACCCTGATAGTAAACGAAGTGTGACAACTTCAGACCGTTTTGAAAGGAAAAATTTAATGTTTTGTTTATTTCCAATAACAATTAAAATTAATTAACTCTGAATTTTCCTAATACAAAAAGAATTATAATAATAACGTTAAGTGATTTAATTGTTATTCCCTTTTTTCCTATCAAGAAATTCTATTGAGATTATAAAATTATTCGTCTTTTACAAATTTTTGATTTAACGGATAATTTAACCCTAAAATTAAGTTCAAATACAAAAATGTTTTAAATAAAAAGTGAATTATTTTATCAATAAATAATGAACGAGAAGAAGGATAATTTTTCTTGGGCACGGAAATTGGGATTTCCTCCTTCAGGATGTACAGATTCAATTTTGTGAGTATTAACATTTTTTTGTTATAAATTGTAAATATATAATTTTATTAATTATATAATATTAATTAATATTTAGATTAAATAAAGGAATAATTGGACTTCTTTGGGATGATTCGTCAAAACTTTTAAATCATCCTAAGGATGTTATGGAAACGAGAAAAAATATTTTACTCTATAAATTAAGAAATAATTTACAAGATCCTAGTATAAAATATATCAGAAATACAGATCAATTAATAGCCGAGAGAAGTAATTTAAATGAACGAATTAAATTATTAGAAGAGAAATACAAAGAACAAGAAACAAAGACAATCAAAAAAGGTAATTTTTAGTTTAATGAATAAGAAATTATAAATTGATTTTCATAATATTTAATTTTTAAATAGAAAATGAATTGCGATTAATAAAACACAAGAAGGAATCGCCAATTATGAAGAAAGAATTACTTAAAATGAAAATTGAACAAATTCAAGAATTTCTTAAGGACAGTAAAACAATGTTAAATATAAGTAAACATTTAATGCCAGCAAATAATAAAGACGTGTCTTTAAGGGAGATACACGAGTGTTTAGATTTAGTGAGTAGCATTCGTTCCGGTGTAAATAAAAAACAAGTAAGTTTTATTATTTTTCAAAGCAAATTTTAAAACGAAAATTAATTAAAGAAATTTATTTATAAATTTTTTTCCCTAATTCTTAGATAATCAACAAAATCACACAAATTTTGGGCTCGAAGCATGTACCAACTTTATGGTCACTATTATTAGAAAATCAATCTCAAGACATGGAGATTTTAATTTCACTGGGTAAAAAGGAAATAACTGAATTTAAAACAACAGTCGGTGAAGATATTGACATTGGCTTAGCAAAAATGTGCGGAGAACATATTAAAACTGTTTCAATGCAGTTATTAGAAATTGCAAAGACTTCGGAAAACGAGAGAATTCTCATGGAGTGGATTGAAAAACTTGAGGTAAACTGAAGAAGAAGAAAACTTTTTTTTCTAAAGAAAATTATCTGAAACCGAATTATGAATTTTTTTTTTCTAGATGGCTGAACCAGATCTTACTGAATGGTTAGAATATGCACTCGAAGTTCGAATGCACGAAGTCGAAAACAATATATTATTAAAGGAAATAAATGACATTTCAAATAGTCTCGCTGAACAAGAAAACTCGGAAATGGAACTTTCTGAAGTTTCCGCCAAATTAGAAAATCTTAGTTCCGAAAAAGTAAGAAAATCCAATTTAAAAATTCAAATATTTTAAACAAAATATGTTTTATTATACAATTTTTTTGTTTTCCTTTTACAGAAAAAATTAATTGATGACGTTCAAAAGTCTTTAAATTATCTTAAAGTTATTCGTTATCTCATAACAGAAACGAGAGAAAAACAAATGGTTCATCTTCAAACAATTGCAATTTTACGATCTGACACACAAGTACCAAAATATTATCAATGTCAAAATGAAAATCTTTCTATTGAATTGGAAACATTTTACAAGGAATTAAATATTGAAGCATTACGACAAATGACAATAAAAAAACCATTTGTAGAACAAAGGTTATTTAAAAAAATATATATATATATATTTATCATTTTTTTTTTCTAGAGAAATTAAACTCTACATTTTCTTTTCAGGCATCTAATAAACAGTTTTAATAATTCATTGATACATTTATCGGGAAAATTATCTGGAAAATTGCCAAATTCCCTGACAATTTTAAAAATACCTTTCTATTATTTATTGGAGAGTTATAAAGCTTTGTACACAAATGCATTATTGAAACGAATTGACAATTCAGAAACATTTGAATTACTCAATGAATATTCACAATGGGATGTTACGAGATTGGAAAATGTTCTTAAGAGTACAATGGAATTATTACAGCATGTAAATTTAATTTGTAAAAAATCCAGAGAACATGTCAATGAATTTGAACACATATTTGATATATGGTAAAAATATTTATCTAAATAATTTAAATCAATTATTAAATAATTTATTACAAAAAATATTTTTTTTTTTTTAGGAATCATCAAACTTTTGAAAGTGCCTTCAAAGTTTTAGAAGAATTAACAGTGGACGATGTGACATTAAAAGATTGGCAGCAACGTTATAGCGTTGTAATGTACATGTTGAAAAAATCAAGCAAAGTTTCTCTCTCATTTCAGCCTTACAATTTTGAGGAACGGTAACAAATATTTTAGATTACATATTTTTTTATACTTTTCTTACTGCTAAGTGTAAAAACGTGTTCACTGAAAATTGAACTAAAAAAACATTTGTATTAATCAATTTGTAATTATTTAAAATATATTTTACAAGTAAATTTTACCGATTTTATCTTATTTTATTAATGTTAATAATTTTTGAAAAAGCCCGCGTAAACAAAAATGAGAACCACTGAGGGGATTTGTCCAATTAGAATTGGAATTTTTTCCTCCAATCAGCTGATTCTACTTGGAAACCAGCCATTTTCTATATACAAAAAACAAGATTTTGAAAAGAATGTTTATTTACTAATAGTAAATAAGAAAAGTTTGTTTATGTCACATATACAATAAAATTGTTTTCTATTTTTAAGAAAATTTTTAGTGTGAAATTTTAAAAGAAGAAACACAAAAGGGTTAATTAACCCTAAATCAAGGAACAAAGTGACGTCTAGTGGTGTTGATAACTGTTTTCTGATCAATTTTTTTAGTATACGTGACTCTAGTCCGCAGACGACGTTGTTTCAACACATATATACACACAATTCTCTCTGCTGTCAAAAAGAAGATTTTCGTTTATTTTTGTTATATTATACACTGGACCACTATAGTTTAAAATTAAATCGAATTTGTATGTCTCGCGCTAAATTATAGAAACAAAACGTTTCTTTTTTAACATGATTAAACTATTTTCCTTGAAACAAGCAAAAAAGGATGGAGAATCGCCAAGAGGTGGAACACAGAAGAAAGCTTCTGCAGCCCAGCTGAGAATAATGAAAGGTTTTTAATTTTTCATTGTTTTTTTTTAAAAAGAAATGCATTTTTTTTGCTATTTATAAAACTAAATTTTCCTTTATGTTTTTTTTTGAAAAGAAATTTGTTTTTTTCCAATTAACCTATGTTTTGATTTCTCTTTATAGATGTAAATGAACTTAATTTACCAAAAACATGCCAATTAGATCATCCTGATCCGGATGACCTTCTTAGTTTTAAAATAACCATTTGTCCCGATGAGGTAAGAAATACTTTTTGTTAATTAATTACTTAATTGAAATTTTAATGTTTGCATTTTATTATTTTCAGGGATTTTATCGTGGTGGAAAATTTGTTTTTAGTTTTAAAGTTGGGCCTAATTATCCACATGAACCTCCAAAAGTCAAATGCGAAACGCAAGTTTATCATCCAAACATTGACCTTGAGGGGAATGTGTGCCTGAATATTTTAAGAGAAGACTGGAAACCAGTCCTTACTATCAATACGATTGTTTATGGACTACAGTATCTTTTCTTAGTAAGTTTGATTTTTTCAAAATTTATTAATTTTAATCTTTAAATTAGTTTTTAATTTCGTAATCTTTAAGCAAAAAAAAAAAAAAGAAAGCTAACTATTTATCATTTCACTTAAATAGGAACCAAATCCAGAGGATCCATTAAATAAAGATGCTGCTGAAGTTTTACAAAACAATCGTCGAGTATTCGAGCAAAATGTAGCGAAAGCCATGAAAGGTGGCTATATAGGTCAATATTATTTTGAACGATGTTTAAAGTGATACATCGCTCGTTTCATGGAGTGTGTGTAAAAAAAAAAATTCACAATCGCAATGGAGGTCTTGAAAAAAAAAATAAAAAAAAAATAAAAAATAAATAAGGAAAAATTTTCCGAGTACGAGTAATGGAGCACTTGGTGTAGGACGTTTTTTGCCGTATACCGTACGTTTTGCTTTTTATATACTCGCTAGTTTTCGAATATTCGACGAGACCTTCGATCTCTTTCTCTCTCTCTCTCTATTTCTCTCTTAAAAACCATCGAATATTTCACGCTTCTTTGGTCTATAAATCTAATCTAAAATAAACAAAAATAAAAAAAACAGGAATGATTAATTATAACAGAAAAACAAATTTTACTTGTACATAAATCGATTAAAATATGTTTCAAGTATAAAGACGGAAGTGAAAAATGAAAAACTTTAAACTCTTTAATTTGTGTTATTTGCTGCCATTCACCGTTCTTTTTCCTCCTATATTTTCAAAAAACACGTCTGTCGGGCACCTATTGATAATTGTACAAAGTCTGGATTTTAGATTTTTCAAAAAAAAAATTTTATTTCACTCTTATTTTAACTTTTTTCTCTTTTTTAAATTTAAAACAAATATTGTATTCTTGTCTAAAAAAAATTTTCTTTCAATTCTGTAAAAGTTTCAGATTAATAAATGTTCTTCACAAAAAAAAAAAAAAACAAAACTGACGTCTCCACGTCAATTGAAATAAAATTCTTCACACAATGGTGAATTTGCATAGTTAAAAAAAAATAAGGAGAAAAGTAAAAACTTTTTTTCAGTATTATAGTAAATCAGTGACGATTTTCTTAATTTTTTTGAACGAAATTTTAATATGCAAATCCTCCAATGAGGAAGTACAAATTGTAATTTAAAAAAAAAAAAATTCATCACTGCATTTATTTATATATAATAAATTTCTTTGAATCATGACTGAGTAATTAATAAGATTATCATTTAATCGTGTTTTTCAATTATCAAAAATAATTCACTTTTTTTTTGGTCATAATTCAAAGAAACAATTACTACTAATCTGTAATAATTTTCTAGTAATGTAAGAATATAATAAATACAGTCGAAAATCCCACTAAATTTTGTCTTTTTTTTTTTTTTTAATTTAGCCACCAAAAACTTAAATTTGTGAAAATTAATTTTCTCGTAAAACAAAAATATAAATTAATTCCTTTGTTTTAAAAAATAATGTTAAATTTAAAAAAAGAACAACTCTTTTAATATTAATCGCAGACACAAAATATTTATTTCACAAAAAAAAAACCTTACAGCCGAGAACACCTCTTTTTTGTACAGTTTTACAATTAAAGAAAAAACAGAGTGCATTTTAAATATTGTTCTTTCATTGAAAAATATTTAATTATATAAAATCTTGTCAAGTACTTCATTCATATACTTACATGTATATATATATATATATTTATTTATTTATAAAAAAATTGAATAACGTGTACAATAATTTTTTTTTTTTTTTTAATTTTCTCTTAATTATTGTATTGAAAAAATGAATCAGAATAAATAAATTTACAATTATGCATTGAAGAGAAAAAAAAGAAGTATTCAAAGCAAACACAAAATGCGAGAAATTCGTCTCAATGTAAACAAACTAAAAAAAACACATTTTATATGCTTTAAATATATATATATATAAAAAAAAAAATTTTTTAAGAAACATTTTAAGAATATAAAAATTCTTGATAACAAATATTTTTTGAAATATTTCTCTTTCTTTCTTTCTCTCTCTCTAATTTTTTTTTCTTATTCAGACGAATTTCTTTAAGGCGCAGTTGCTAAAAAACAGAACTTTTACAGTACTATTTTTTTTCACTTGTCTATCTAAAGTAATATTTAAATCCTTTGGGAGAAATAGGACGATGTTTTTTTTTTTTTGTTAATGATCTCTAGACGGCTTTTTATTTTCGTTAGTGTACAAAACGAGCTTTCAATCTCTTTTTTTTCACTTCCCAATTACCAAAAGTTAAAAAAAAAAATTTTTTAATTCGTAATTGGTAATTGCAAAATGAAATTTATTTAAATACAATAATTTTTTCTTTGCCGTTTAGCTCGTATTTTTGTCTTTTGAAAATGCCGGAAAAAAGTAGATAAATTAAATTGGACAGTACTTTCGTTTAAATTTTTTTTTTTTTTTTTTTTTTCCTCCTAAAATTATATATATATATATAAAAAATGTGTACATTTTTGCATAAAGAAAAGAAAATTTAATCGCCTCAAAAGCAAAAATTACAAAAAAGCGTATTTCATTCGATTGTGACGCTACTTTTTGAAAAAATAAAATGACACATTTTTTTTTCTTTTGTCTTATTATTTAAAATCTTTATACAACAAAGTGTAGCATCGCCTTGCGATTGTAAATTTGCGTGAATTGATTTTATTTTTTTTAGTTAATAAATTGATCACCTAATTAATTTATTTTATTTTTTTTTTTGTTGAGATTGTTATTGACGTATTTCAGAATAATTAAAAATTAATCCGACCGTCTTGGATAATGTACATTTAGTTTACAAAAAAATAGTAAATAGGAAGTGCTATATTGTCTTCCTAAATGATCGTATTAACAGTTCTTTTCTTTTTGTTTTGTCTCCTCATTAACTGTCTTAACGATGTAATTAACTTTTATAATTTTTTGTTTGTTTATTTACTTACTTAAGTCTTAAATAAAAAAAAAAAAAAACCTTATTAATTTTCTTTATCGACCTAATGGCGTCCCGCCAAAATTGAACGAGGTGGGCACAGTTTGAGAATGAAAGGCGTAACCTAGAAGAAAATAATTTTTTTTAAAAATAAAAACAAAAATAATATTAAGAAAAAAAAATGATTTACTAACCTCCACTCTGTTCAATTCGTTTGCTTTCTAACGCAGCTTTACGCTGATCGGCGAGGAGAATGATTTCTTGCAAGGTTTTTTGTTGTTCAGCTGTTAAATTACTGGTTAGCGCTCTATACCAATTGTGATCTGTTTTTTCAATATCTTAAAAAGAGAATTTAATTAGTTGAAAAATAAATTTTCAATTAATACTCACCTGGAATTGAAATTGTCAAAAAAAAAAGGCGTACTTACTTTGCATAATTTCTTTAAAAACGACATATTCATCCTGTTTTTTGTCGTCCGAATCTAAAGGTGTAATATAAGTCTCAAGAGCAGTCTCTTCGTTCGCTTCATATTCTGAATCTTCATCATCATCTTCGTCCGATTTATGATCACCAATTCCATCTTGAATAAATGAATTTACAGTGAATCCATGATGGGTTTGAACATTTTTTGTTACTTTTTCTTGAAGTTTTTCCAAGTATTCTTGACTACCGTCGTCAATTTCATCCTCGTCCGACGACAAGACTTCTAAATAAAAAAAAGGATAAACATTTAACAATAATTTACATAAAAAAATCTTAAATCTTATTAATATTTAAAAAAAAAAAATCACCTTCGTCAATGTCAGTTTCCTCATCATCATTTCCATCGTCATCGCCGTCGGCAACTTTTGCAGCATAGGCACGTTTCAGTCCGTCAAAAAGTAAAATTAACGATGGAATAATTTGATGAGAACATTCATTCACTGCTGCTGGTCTCGATGGACCCATACTTATTAAAGTGCAGAGACCAAAAACGCAAAGTTTCCTGTCATGTAACCTGTTGAGGGAAAAATATTAATAAATTATTATCAAAATAAAATTTAATTTCTTTTGCTTTTAAAGGAGAAATTTAATCTCACCCAAGAAAACAATCGGTGTCGAGTATCCATTGCTTTATGAAATGCGAAGCAATTGGTTCTGCCGATTGACCCAAAGTGCCTTGTAATCTATTCATTGCATCGAGACACAATGTTGGATTATAATACAATGCTGCAATTACTACTTGAAGGCACATTGTTCTTAGTTCGGAAGTTTTCACTTCACGCGTCAGACGTTCCAATACCAATTGAACAAGTGATGGTATGCACTGAAAAGAAAAATAATTTTCTAAATTGTAAAATTTTTCCATAAAAAAAATTCTATTTTCAATAAACAAATAAAAGGGATATTTTTAATTTTAAATTACAATTTACCTGATCTATTTGTCCTTTGCATTGTAAAATGATAACTTCCAATAATTTTGCAGCATGGCACTCGGGATCTTCACCAGCATCGCCCATCAATACCTAAAATCATTTTTTTAAATTAATAATATATTTATTAAAAAAGGCAAAAAATATTCTTACCGCTTTACACATATTAAACATGGCTAAAATATGATTTTCATTCGATAGGAATGCTGGTGTATCGACGGTAATATAATTGTGAAGCGCAGGCATCATATCGGTGAAATAATCGAAACCATCTTTTTGAAATAATTGATACATAAGTTCCAATACTTTCCACATGTCTTCGGAAATTGATTTTCCCGTGAGATCGTAAACCAACGATAAAGCCTCTTCATAAAATTCTACAAGACCCAGAAAACAATTTTAATTAAAAAAAATAAAATATTTTTTCTGTTAATGAAAATTAAAGAAAACGAACCCATAACACTTTGACCGAAAATATGAGCAATCACTTGTAGAACTGTAGGTTGCAATTGAGCCATTATTTGTGGTTGATCTTCCATCACTGACAAAAGTGTTTCTATTGTATTTAATAAACCCATTGCCGCAATGGCTTTCTCATCGCTACCCTCGTCCGTTTCCAAAACTTGACTAAATGTTGCAGCCTGGAGAATAAAATAAAAATAAATTAAATTAAAAATCAATTTTTAATATTAAAAAAAGAAAAATTACCAAATGTTGACAAATTTCCACAGCTATTGGCATTAATTGTTCTGGATATGTGCAAACAAGTTTTTGCATAACAGTCGCCAAATCATCATTTTCTGTTTCTCTAATAATATTCAATAATTCAAGTGTTATTTGTTTAATAAATGGCTCAAGAAATCGTTGTGCTTTCTCTTGGGCAATAAGCAACATCTGAAGAGCAATAGCGGCTTCAACTTTCACCGGAAGATCTTTATCCGTCAACAATGCATGAATTGTTAATCTCATCGCTTCAACTAAAATTAATTCTTCCTTAAACTTGATTTCAGAAAAGTAATGTAACACCCAACATGCCTGAAAAATTTAAATAATATTTTAAAAAATTCAAAATTCAAAAAATTTGCTAATTTTCTAAAATAATTAAATTTTGTTACCCTCGCTCTCATGTGACCATGTATACTATTAAATTCAGGGAAGACATACTGCATGAGCATCTTATCCATTTGATCCTTATAAATCTTTTTCCTCAGCAAAATATCAGCGAGGCTTCCCACCTAAAAATTTTATTTTAGAAAAATTCAAAAAAAAATTATGTTAAATATTTACCATGTGCAAAGCACCGTCCTTTTGTCGAGGATCAGCATTCGGACTGGTTAAGACTTCCATACAGAATTGCATTGTCTTTTGTAACATGTCTTTGCGCTTTTTACATGACGCGTGTAATAATGTTTGTGCAGCAGTCACAGGAGAAACAAAGTCCTCGAATATATCTAAAAATAAAAATTGTAAAATTAAACAATTTTTACTATTAACAAAATTATTTGTAATTTACGAACAATGTTCATTAATTTTTTTAAATAAAAATTTACCAAATTTAACTCTAATGTACTCGTAAGGATCCGTGTTCCATAATTCTTCGTCAGCCTCTGAATATGAAAGTATTGGAAACAAAACATCTCGAATAATTTCATACATATGAGGCTTTAAGAATTTCCACGAATGAGCATGGCAAACTCTGTCAAAAATAAATATTTAATTAATTTCTTTTTAAATACAAATTTAGTAATAGAAAAACAACTTACGCTTGATTAATATAATTTAGAGATTGCTGTACAACTCTTGGAGAAATGAAAACTTTTCTACGATATTGATCCAATATTTTGAGCAAAACTTCCAAAATTCCACCGCTAAATGTTTGCAAATACCATTCGGAGAAATCCTTATATTCCTTGATTACTTTTCCCGGACTGCCATATCTAAAATATTTTTAAATTATTTAAAATGATTCTATTTTTTTTGAAAATAAAATTCAGAAAAAAAAATATTACCAACCTTTCAAACATTCTTTGAAGAATGTGAAGTGCCCATTTTTTACATTTCCACCAGGGCAATTCAGATCGTTCATCGTCATCTAAATTAGGATCATTTGTTTCAGCGGGAACAGGTCTATCTGCAACTTGTCTCACTACGTCCATCCATTGAGAGAAAACTTCTTTCGATATAAGATCAAGAGGAAGAGTGTACTGTAAACAATTTTTTTTTACAATTTTTCAAAAATCTTTAAATTTTAAAAAGTTTCATTTACAATAATTTTTTTTTAAAAAATACCTGCGTTAAGGCGAAAAATATTTTGAGTATTTGTTTTTGTAAAAGGACAGACTGCTCGGATGCATCAGGTAGAAGTCGGATTATTAATTGATAAATCATGGGCAATAATAAATTCATAGCTTCATGAAGTGGTCCTCTATCTTCAGCTTTTTTGTACCTAACAAAATTTTAATAATTAATTTTTTTTTTCCAATAGTAATTAATTTTGTTTTTATAATATAGAGATTTAATTTAAAAACTCACTCGAAATTTTTAACAAGTTGATAGAGAGCAAGAAGAATACCGGGCCAACAGGAAGCATCTGGATTTTGTAAGTAAATCGTAATTTTGTCAATAATTTGCGTCCACCTTCCAGGGAAATCGTGCTTTACAATATTACTTATACACACTGCCAATTGTACCCTGCATTTAAATATTTCAATTTTTTTTATTTTTAAATATTTGACAATATATATTATTAAATAGAAAAATTAAAAAAAAAAATTACCTTATAAGTTCTGGTGCCATTACTACTGCATCGACAATCGCGTTACGAATCATGGCACGATCTTGTTCATGAATACTAAATTGTAAAGCAGCATTGTCAGTTTCTCGATCCACCCAGTTTGTCGTTATTAAATTTTTTAAATATATGACACCTAAAACAACAATTACAATTTTTTTTATAAAATATAAATAATTTTTAAATTATTATTTATTAAATAAATTAAATTAATAATTATTCAAAAATATTTTACAAATTAGTTTTTACTCTCACCTGCTTGTCTAACTGGCATGTCAACATCCGGCGAAATTACAACTTGCAAAAGAGTGGGAGCAAAACCAATAATTTTGTGAATCTGTAAAATCATTAATTTATGGATTATTATTATTATTAAATGACAAAAAAAATTGTTTTTAATACAATTAAATTTAAATAATATTAATTATCGCAAAAACTAATTAAAAACTAAATTTTATATTAATCAGAAAACGGAATTTTCTCGATTTCGCATGACATATTGAAAATGCAAAGGTCAAATTGAAAGTATTATCTGTAAATTTTGAAAACAATATGCTTGATTTACTCTAAAATATCTATATCGTGTTTCTAAATAAAGTGACAGAAAAAAAAATTCAAATTTTCTTTGCTTAACCTCATCTATATTACTATACAGAATTAGTAATCGCATTCTATGAATTCTTGCTCTAATTTTAGAAATTCAATCTCTTTAGTTTTTCGTAAATTGTATAGAAATTTTCAAAACTATCGCAAGTATACTATTAAATGGAATTGATGAAAACGTACATGTAAATAAATGATAAATTGACTCATAAAAAAAGTACATCACGATAAAATACAATTTAGACATTTATTTATACTTCTATTTAATTTATATGAAAAATAAATTATAAATCAACAATATTTCAAAAATGAAAATAAAAATTTCTAATTAATCGAAAAAATATACAATTTTCCATCAAAATAGTTTAAAAATCAGAAAAAAATCATTAATCATGAATTTTGATTAAACAATTAACAATTTAAAGCTGAAAATAAGAAATTTGCAAAAAAAAAAATAATTTCCTTTGACAATTCTCCTGTCATGAACTTTATAATTGAAATATTTAATCATAAAACAATTTTCACTTTTGATATTTTCAAAAGTGATGAAAACAATTTTTGATATTAAAATTGCTCTAGGATAACGGATCACGATATTATAACATTGTAGGTAAATCAGAGCTTCAGCCACATTTTTGCTTCTAAAAAAAATGTGAGCCCCTCATCAATGACTTTGAAATATGTCCAGACTTTCGAAAATCGTTGAAAAAATCAACAATATCGAATATAACCATAAAATATAATAAATACATAATGAAACATTGGAAATTAAAGAAACCACATGTGCCACAAGTTTTGGCGATAAGGTAACCGAGCACGTTTTTACGAGCGACGACAGCGAAACGTACCTGGTTGAGCTGTTCCTCCGCCTGCTTTTGTTGAGCGGGATCTATCGTTGCTCGCAATAATTCTGTTAATTTACGGGGATCCATTTTAGCGGCAATAATTTTCGTTGTAATAATAATTCTTACTTGTTAATTTTTTTAATCCCGTTTTCATCCGAGTAAAAAACGATTTCTACCCGGCGCATTCACCTTACTTGCCTGCCTGCCTGCCACTTACTGCTCCCTCGTCACGTGACGCATCAACATGAACATGGCGGCTATTCGATGCGATCGATGCGATAAACATATATAGCCATTAAATATTTTCAGTTATTCATTTCATTTATAATTTCAAAATAAAAAATACACACACGGTTTTATCATCATAAAATGAATGTTAAATAATTTTTTTTAAACAAATTTTTAGGAAAATATTTCAATTTTTTTTGAGTCAACAAACGCGGGATTAGAAATATTCCAAAATGTAATAATCTGATTGGTTATGACTGATATTACAAATGACGTCACGTGATCACGCGCCAGTAGAAAAAAAATTATAGAAAGATGAACCCGCCAAAATAGAAATTACAAATTTTATTTATTATAATTTATATAATAATTGTAAAATAAAAACAAAATTTTAAATTAATATTTTTATAATTTCAATTAAGAGATTGTTATTTGACAATTAATTCAAAAATTTATTTTGTATGTTGATTAAATTAAACTTAAAGGTTGGTTCACATTAAACACTGTGAACTAGACTTAAAGGAAGTGACGTAACGGATTTTAAATTCAAAATATTCGTTTATTCATAATTGACAACATAGAAAAATGTTCATTTCACATTTGGCAGTTGAGACATAAAGTTATAAAAATAAATATATAAATTAATACTGACGCTTTGTACTGAAATGACAGTAATTGTAATCAACACAATGGGAATTCCGCTACTTCTTCAAGTTTATATTTGAGAATTAAATCTTCTCCTCGATAAAGAAAATAACCTTTAAATGGAACACCTTTAAACATGTATGGGAACCATAAGGAATTATTTGGCCACATCTTTTGATAAGGTATGTCAGATAAATTAAACCATTTTGGCTTCATTTCTGAAAATAATAATTAATTCTACAAAAATATAAGTGATTATAAAATATGAAATTTCATTTATAGTTACAATTTTTATTAAATGAAAATTAATAATGACCAATGTTTGTTAAACAAAAATTAACAATTAATAATGATCAATTTTTATTGAATAAAAATTAAATTACCATCCGTATTAATAATATTTCCTTCGAAATCAAATGTATCAAAAACATGAACTTCCAAAAGAACTGGATCATTTTCAAATTCAAATTCAAGAATTCCAATTTTTCGTAAATCTTTAGCAATTAAACCACATTCCTCTTTTAATTCTCTGTAATTATAAAGTTTATTTATATTTACATTCATTTATAGTTGTTTTTTTTTTATATAGGATTTTTAAAATTACATTTGACATTTACAGGTTATATTGCTAAAATATTTTAATAATAATTACAAAAATTTTATTATTATATTATTAAATAATTGATAAAATTAAAATTAATTATAATTTACCGAAGAGCACATTCATGAATTGTCTCATTTGGTTCTAATTTACCACCAAAGCCATTCCATTTTCCAATACCGAATCCTCTTAATTTTAAACCTAATAAAATTTCGGTTTCTTTTCTCACCATCACCAATGAAAATACTTTATTAATACTCATAGTTGAATAAATTAATTAAAAAAGATTTAAAACACAAAAACAATTCGCAACTGTCGTCCCGCAACCGCGTGTTTTTCTATATTAGGCTGTATCCACAATAAGAATTTTCAGCGTTGTTCGCGAAAGGTACACGTAAGTTACGCGAATGTTTTGCGGAATTGACAACTACTGGAAAAAAAATTTCGCTTTGTTTTGATCGTGGATACATAACCTCCAAATTAATTTCGGTAACAATACCTGATTGAAAGAATGTCATTAATTCTAAAAAATATTTTCTTGAAATTTGTAATGAATAAATTTTACGGTGAATTAAAAATATGTATGCGTAAACATTGAACAATAAAAGTCAACTTTCAGGTAATGAAAATATAATAATAATAATAAATTAATAATATTAATATTTTTTATTATTATTATTATTATTTTATAATAATAATTAATTAATAATTAAAATAATAATAATAAACGATAATATAATATTATAAAGTTGTGTTTGTTATTCGATGCCTTTACCGAAATTAATTTGGAGATTATGTATCCACGTTCAAAACAAAGCTAAATTTTTTTTCCAGTAGTTGCGGCAATTCTTCAAAACATTCGCGTAACTTACGTGTACCTTTCGCGAACAACGCTGAAAATTCTTATTGTGGATACAGCCTTATAACTTAAAAGTTAGGTTAGGTTGGTTTGCGAAAATCAACATGGCAGGTTCGAAAATGCCAATAATAATAAATTGTGGAAAAACAATGTTTTCACATAGATTTGGTGCAATATTACAAAGTGTACAATTAAGAGGATCAATTAAATTTCGTGCTTTAAGTACAGAAAATACTAAAGCAGGTAAGTGGAACAAATTGTTAGATTAAAAATTTTTTTTTTTTTTGAGGTTATGTTAAAATGAAATTAACTTTATTTATTTAATAAAATATAACAATAAATGTGACATTCTTTCTTAATAATTGGTAAATAAATTTAATTAATTATTAATCAAAATAGTTTTCATCTTATTGGAAATAATTTGTTTGAAATGAAAAAATTTTTATAAAACAAAATGAATAGTATTTGTTAATAATATTTTTTTTTTTTATAATATTGTCATACTATTTATATTTATTTATTTATAATTATTATTAAAAATTCTATTGTTTTTCGGATAAAGAACGAGATCCGGCACCATTTTTTTTCAACAAAGAAGTACAAAAGCTGCTGAAATCAATGACAGGTCGAAATTATCAGAAAATATTTCGTCGTCGAAAAGATAGTAGTAAATCAGTTTCACCAGAATATAAATTTATGACTGACGATCAATTAAAAGAAGCAATGCAAAGTGCTGAGAGAAAAGCAGAAAAACTTTTACAAATGCCACCAGTTGTAAAAGAAAGAAAACCAATTGAGAAAATTCTTTCCAAAGATGTGGCATTACAAGGATATACAGATTCAAAACTTGTCATTACAGATATTACATTCGGTATTGAAAATCATGATAGATTAATTGCCGTCAGAGAACCAAATGGTACATTAAGATACGCCGATTGGGACGAGAGACACAGAATGAATCAAATTTATTTTCCAATGGACGGAAGAGATATTACAATGCCAAAAATGTTTGATAAAGAAAATCTTGAGGTAACAAAATTTAAAAAAAAATTAATAATTTTCCACTTATTTAGAATTAAAATGAAAAAATTTCTTTTTACAGGATTTATTTAATCGAAAAGAATATGTATTTATTTTGGATCGTGCCTGCATTCAAATGGAACCAGATGATCCAAAATATCAACAAGTCAATCAATTAACATACGAGTCTATTGATAAAAATGAAGATTGGGATCTATTAAAATCGACAAGACACTTTGGTCCAATGGTTTTTCATTTAACGTGGAATAAAAATATTGCAAATCTATTTCTTCATAATATACAACAGGAAAATATCAAGGACAATGTTTCATTGATAAATCTTTATCAAAAATTACATCCTGACATTAATTACAATAATCTCAAATATGAGGATAATGATTTGAAATATGTTGAAGATTTTGCAAAACAACAATTTTCTGAACATAAAATTATACCTGCATTACAAGCCCATAAGGAATTAGTAAAAGAACGTGAACAATTAGAAAAGAATATTAAAAAAGCACATGGACTTGAATAAAAGTAAAACTTTCGGAATGCAGAGAAAAATGTGTAATTATTATTATGTATTATTATTGTTATGACGAATAAATGGATTTTCTAAGAGGAATTCAATTTTCGTATTTGGGGAAAAAAAAGGTGAGAATTTTACTTTTTCAAGGTATTTTTTGTAGCCCCTTCTTTTTCATGAATGACCAAAAATGAAATTGGTTTTCACAAAACGATAAGATTGCCGGTACAATAAATTTTTCGACTCATTCAAGTCACAGTTCTTTTTCTTTTTTTGTCTTCTATATAGAAATTAGTTAATTAAATTGTGCAATATATATTTTCTTTATCTAATCATTATATAATAAAGTTAACGAATCAAGATTATTTAATCGCTATATTTTTTTTGATAAGAAAAAAATATTAATTAATCACAAATTGATTAATGTTTCTGCTTTCGAAATAAAAGTTAATTACGCTTTAAATTTTAAAACAATTATCACAATATTAACAAAAGAAAAAGAGAAAAAAAATTACAAAGTAAATATTAATAATTAAAACGAATTAAATTATTATTGATTTGCAGAATAAGTAGTTATGGTCGGTTTTGATCAGACCGTTGATTGGAAGCTTTGTATATAAATATTCGTGTAAGAATATATAATTAATTATTAATAAAAATAATTGATTATTATTTAAAAAAAACAATTATTAACTTTTAATTTTTTTTAGAATAGAATCAATTTAATTTTGTTTGCAGTATAAATCAAATACTCTCAATTTCAAAAATAATGAAAATATTTTTTAAATTAAATAAAAGTATTGAAAAAAAATTTGTCAATTGTAATTTTTTTTCTTTTTAATCATCTTTTAACTATATTGACAGATATGTCGTTTTAAAGTAGTTTTCATAAAATGCGAAGAAATTGTGTTTAAATGATAATATTATTTTCGAAGCAGAATAAGCATACTATTAAAAACGTTTCATCATTGAATAGAAAAATACTATTTTCAAAGAAATTATTATCGCTCGTACTTGACAAATTTTTATTATTATTATTTCTTTTTATTTTTATTATTAATATTATTTCTTTTTATTTTTATTATTAATATTATAATTATTATTATATTTTTTATTATTATTTTAATAATTGTTATTATTGGAATTAATTACTAAGAACGATAATCTTTAAATATGGCTCGTTTAATCAATTTCAGAGTGTATAAGATATATACCTTTTGATTAATTTAAATAAAAAATTGCTGAGAGTTTTCCGCTTTAACAGGACATTTAATATATGTATATAGAATCATTAATCAGTACAATGGTTACATAAATATGTGTATAAAAATACTTTTACGCTTCGCAAAATTCTATAGTGTGAATTTTAGTTTCATTGAGACGTCACAATGAAACCTTGTCAAGATTAATGAAGAGACACAAATTGATCATGCAAAATCACTATTGTCATAGCACTCTACGCGAATCAATCGTTTTTTTTAAGAATAGTTTTTTTTTTTCTAATCGATAAAAAAAAGAGCGGAAAAGTAAAAGAAATACGAGATATTTTTAGCCATTCATTTCATCTATTTTTTTTTTTAATTTTCTGTAAATATAACATACTTTTTTTTATAATAGCATAGCATATTCTTAAAATATTCCCATTTTGAAATTATAATTTGGAATATTTTTTTGAAATGTATGGAAATATTGCTTTGAAAAATTGTAGAGAAATATTCCATTGGAATATTATAAATATTTTTTTTTAAATTTAGTATAATTATTGTTGAATTTAATTAATTTTAATTGAACAATGAAAACTTGGAATTCATTTTTTGAAGCAGAAGAAAAAAAATTTCCCCATTTTCCACTTTATTTAATATGAAGACCAATTATCAACTCCAGTAAAACCTTGTCACGTTTAATGAACAGAGTTCAAACAGATCAAACCATATATAAAGTAAAAAGTCACTTTTTTATTTTTTTTATACAAATTATTCTGAAAATTAAATTTTGAAATACTTTTTACAATAGATCATTAAATTAATTTATAAAATAATGATAATAATTAAATTACTCAATTTTCAATTAAAATATTTTTTTTATATTTCTAATTTTTTAAATATAATTGTATTTAATATTATTCAAATAATTTTTTTTCTCATCACGTTTTTTTTTGACATTTCAAATAAATTTAAAAAAAAAATATTTTTTTTAATATTTACTTAATAAATTATATATCTTAAAAAAAATTGATGGAGTCTTTATACGAATAAAAATTTAGTCCCTAACGAGAACTAATTTTCTTTTGCTTACTTTTCAAGGAAAACAAACTTAACTTGTTTTTGCTTACTTTTCAAGTTACATATAGGAAAAATCGATGTCCCGTATACTCGCTTTGCTGTTTCTTTGCAAAATCAGTTGCTCAAGATTTTCTATCTGAAATAAGAAATACCAATAAAATAAAAAAAATTAATTCAACTAATAACAAATTTCCCCTCAGCGGTTATTGCAATGGGCTTTAAAAAGAAAGAAAAAATATTTTTGCAACGAAAAAAATATTTTTTTAAATAGTCGTTTTAAATAAAAATTTTCTTCATCATTAAAGTATTTTTTTTTAGGTATTTCAATATTTTACAAAATTCTACTATTTTCTTTATTAATCCTGAAATATAAAAAATTTCTACAATATTTCAAAGAATATTTTCTTACAATTTAAAAGAATACTTCATTAAAAATTTCTCTATTTAAGAATTGTAAATATTATAATATGGAATATTTTCTTTCAATTTTTTTTTTCTCTTAAAAAAAAAATGATTTCGAAATTAAATTTCTCGTCAAATGTCGGTTGAAATCAAAAACGAAGTTACAATAACAAATCATTAATAATTAATAATGATCGCATTATAATGGATATAAATGTGTATATCGATATATAGACAATGCAATTGTAGATACGACACAGTACAATGACATTTAACTTCAATGATTTTCCGTTGACGCGTGTTAAACGCGAAATTTTTATTTTTTTTCAAACGTGGAAGCAACAGTTGGTGGGGAAATAGGGAGAGAGAGAGAGAAAGAGAGCGAGAGATTTACTGAATATAAATCATATGTGCAAAGAAGACACAAAATGATGCTTACAAACCGACGGACATGCGTAAGATCCCACGATATAGTTTGTTGCAAGTTAACGTAGTCTCATTGAAACGACGTCCAGCGTCGGTCGCGCGCGTATTTTTCGACTCTCTTTGTTTTATCAACAAAAAAGAAAAACAATTATTAAAATAATAATAAAATAATAATAAAAAAAATAATTTTTAAATAAAAAAAAAATTAATATTGAAAAAAAACCTCCCTTAAATTTTAATTAAAACTATTTTTCAAAAAATTAATAATTTTTCGTTTATTTTAAAATATTTTATTTCCAATAAGAAATAGAAATTTAGAAGACAAGAATCAAGCAAGTGGTAATCAATTTAATTTTTTTTTAATTAATTATTAATTAATTAGTAATAAAAATAAAAAAATAAAAAAAAATTGAATAGTAAGAAATTTAGGGATAATAATCGTATACGAAATAATAATGATTAAAATTAATAATATAATTATAATTAATTATTTGTGCCGGTAAAAATAATAAAAATCGAGTCAAGATTATTTCGATTATAATTACTGCTATTATATTATATTAATTATTATTAAAATATAGGATTAGATTAGATTTTAGGGAAATCACACGAAAATATATTCCAAGTTTATTTCGATTATTATGAAGGCTAATGTGATAATTATCTGAAGGTAAAAACATGATTCGTAACAAATTTGTATTGTATATATTGTAGTTATATATCTTGATGAATGTGCACTTTTAACGCAAATGATATATTAATTCCCAATTATTTATTTAGAAATTTTTTTTTTTTTTTAATTAAATCTAAAAAACGTACCAAAATAAAATTTATTTTTTTTGAAAAAATTGTTATAAAATAAAAATTGCATTTCTATTTTTCTTTTATAAGACAAGGAATTTTTTTTTCTTCTAGTGCGCATTATGATGAATTATCAGCGAATAAAAACATTTACAAACAATCGACAAAGAAATTTTTATCATTAAAAATTTTCAATCTAATTTCCTGTGAAGAAAAAAAAAAAAATAATTTCCATTATTCTAAAAATATAATTCGTAATAATAATTTGTCAATAAATGGCATTTTTTTCACTATCAATGCGGAATCGAGGTGCAAATAAAACAGTTTATAAATCCAGTGACAAGTGATAAATTTTATTTCCGTTTTTGGAATATGGAACACGAGAATTTCGAGTAAACAAGAAAATTGGACAGTCACTTATACGATTCTCTAGCATTTTTTGAAATAAAAATGGTAAGTTGTTTACAATAAAATATTAACTAGTTAGAAAATAAAAATTTGTTATACTTTTATTTAAAAAAATAAAAAAATAATTTGTTAAAGTTTAAAAAATTATTGTTATTATTATTAAATGGTTTTTTTTTAATTCAAAAGTGTGGTTTTTCTAGTGTACTTTAATATCCCATGATGTTAATTAAAAACGCCTAATTAAAATTTACTTCAATGGCTTTTGCCGGGAGATATAAAAAAGTGCAATTTTTAATAGAAAGTACTTGAATTATTATTCCCATTGAAAAATTGCTTTTTGTATTTTTAAAAATAAAAAAAAAAAAACAGAAAAAAATATTTCATAGATAAATTCAATTTTAAATTTAGAATTTTGAAAAACAAATTCTAAAAATAAAAAATAAATAAAAAACGATTAAAAATTAATTTTTATTATATAAAATTTTTCGAGACACAATTTTCTATTTTTAGAAAAAAACTTTTATCAATGGTAATTTTTTTTTTTTTATTCTATTCTGTATAGGAAATGAAATGCAGAAAATTTTTTCACACCTTTTTTTTTTTGGGGCGGTAAAAATATTCTCGCGCACTAATAAAGTTTCTTTAGTCGCACAAATTTTTCGCGCCCCAAAAAAATTGAATAAATTTCACACTTTTTGTTTCATTCTGACAATACGAAATTTTCCAGAACGTCATTCAAATAATTTTTATATTCAAAAAAAAAATTCTTTTTGCTATTAAATTATATTTGCAAAAAAAAAAAAATCCATCTCTCTTTTTGAGTGAAAATTTTTTTTCAATAAATCATAATAGCTTGCGCGGTATTAAAAAAAATAAACCCCTAAATTTCCTAATATTAGTCAAATATTTTCATAAAACAGAAAAGAAATCTTATAAACCACAAAAAATATACATGTGATATATACTTTGCATTCGTGATTACATTATGTATGCAGAAAGTATAAAAATCTTTTTCCGCCATCGTAGACAAGCGGAAAAAAAAGAGGGCAAGAAATAATGTTCTTTTTCTTTTTTAATGTTTAAAAAAAATTTTTTTTTTTTTTTTTTTAAATAGAACTATGAGGAAAATTTTAAATATTTTTTTTTTATTTTGTATTGTATCAATCGTCAAAGTAGCGCCACACACGTGTACCTATATATCTAATATAATTTTTGCACAACTCTCTTACCTTATGGATTCTATAAATAAAGTTTAAGGTTACATTTATAAATGTTTCGTGATAATTTCACATGCGGACGGGGATAAATGTTTTTGCAAAATGTTGACAGATTTTTCATATATAAATAAAAAAAAAAGAAAAAAAAATTATCACTAAAAAAAAATATATAATTTTTGGAAAAAAATTTTTTTTTTAATCTTTGAATAATATTTAAATAAATAAATAAAAACAAACCCAAAAAAAAGTTTTTCTAAAGAAATTTTTCTAAAAGGAATTTAATCGGTCACATATCTAAACGAGTTATTATTCAATTTATATCAATTTATTAAAAGATCATTCCGTTCATTAATTTCCATTAAAGAAGTCCCAATAAAAAAAAAAAAGAAAAAGAAATCAATAAATTACATTGATTAAATCTCGTGTCAAATGTTACACGTGATAGCGTATATCATATATTATGGAATCTTATCAAAATACTAAAAAAGAGACCGCTCATTGATATAGTATCGTTAATTTAATTGTATTGAGCATTTTTTTTTAAATGGAAAAAGTGTCAATTAAATTCTTAACTTCTTTGAAAATCAAGTATAGCCGGAAAACAATTTCTTTTGTTTTTGAGGAAAAAACATTAATTTGCAAATTATTGTAAAAATTTAATTTTTAATTTTTATTTTTTTTATTATTTTTATTATTTTTATTATTTTATTATTATTTCTATTTATTTTATTTCCTTTACATTAATGAACAAATTTATTTTCGAATACCTTTTCTACTAAAAAAAAAATTATTTGGTATTATTCGGATTTTAAAATAATGTGAAAAAAAACACAGTCAATGACAATTGAGTTTTTAATAAAATTGATTATTTTATATCTTATCAATATTGATATATAAAATTTTTTATACACTTAACAATAAGATTATGTGGAAATTCTTATAGAAAATTCCCGAAAAAAAAAAATAAATAATGATGCAATTCAATTATTTCCCCGTATAATAATAAAAGAACAAATAAAAATGACAAATTTTTCACATGTGGAAGAACACAATATCAAATATGTCAAGGTGTGTTTATTACTATTCCAATACCAGAGATAGGATTACGATTTTAATCTGCAGATTGGTGTTAATATTTTAAATATATACATAAAGACACACAGACAACAAGTTCCTGCATTCTATACACATTATTATCCCTATTCTCTTATAATATCGAGTCATAATCTATTTTATTTTATAATCGGGGAAATTTTACAATTATTCGCATAAAATAATATAATATTTTTTTATCTATGGTTAAATTTTTAACAAAAAAATGATAATAAATTAATAATTTTTAAATAAATTATTAAATTAATTATTGAATTAATAATTTTTAAATAAATTATTAAATTAATTATTGAATTAATAATTTTTAAATATTAATTAGAAATAATTTTTAAATTTAAATTTGCCAATAAAAATGTTTAATTAATTTTATCATTAATAAAAAATGTTGAAGGAAATAAATAATCTCAACGATTGCAGTATGATAAATTTAATAAAAAAAAAAAAAAAAATAACAAAAAATAAATAAATAATAAAATAAAAAATAAATTTATTTTTTAAAAATTGTAATTGATATTAAATTTATCTAATAAATTTTCATTTTAACTATTTTGTGAATGAATTTAATAAAATATATTTTATTCCAGAAAAATTGAGAAAAATTTTTACAATTTAATTAAATTGACTATTATTAATTTTTTTTTTTTTGCAAGAAATTAGCGAAATTAAATTTAATTAAAAAAGAAAAAAAAATATTACTATTATATTTTAACATCAAAGTATGTGTGTATTTGTCAAATTGAAAAATAATTTTCGAAAACAAACCTTGGGGGGGTTTTATATATATAAAAAGTTTTGCTGTGGCGTAATGGATTCTTTATCGCTCTTCAACTTCCCATAAAATTGGATTGTTTCGCACCAGTATATATACGCGGCCTTTTAAAGAATCATTAGTTGATTAGCTTTTATAAGCAGCTCTTCTCGTTTTTTTTTCTAATTTTTTTTTTTTTTTTTTTTTTTTTCCGAAAACCCCTTTTTATCAATTAGGTATTATGAAAACAAAATAAAGACAGGTTCAGGGTACAAAGTGCTATTATAATAATTATTGTTTGTCAGGTTTTGAGTCACGGGGATTAAGTTTCAACGAGACACAGAGTCAAGGATATAATAATTTAATCGCTTTTCCTCTAAACTAGACAAAGGGCATGAAATAAATTGTTACAATCACTCACAAAAAAAAATATTTCATCAATTAATCAATCAATCAATCAACTAAGTAATTAAATAATTAATTAAAATTTCGGATCATTTCTAATTGGAAAAAATTGTATATACTTATATTAAAGATAATAATATAATATAATAATAATTAATAAAATAATAATAATAATAATAATAATAATAATAATAATAATTATTATTATTATTATTATATTACAAATTATTTTTATTATTAATATTATTATTTTTATTATTATTAATCATTATTATTATTTTATATTTTTATTATACTTTTATAATAAAAAAAAGTTAGTTTAGTTATAAAAAAAAATTAATATTTTGTGCCTTTATTAATTAAAAAAATTTAACAAATTTAAATCAATCAAAAAATTATTAAATCGGTCAATAATATTGACAAGTGTTGAAACTCGAAGTCATCAAAATGATTTCAAGTTGAAAGTAGTGAATGCAAGTACTAGTCAGACATGCGTGAATATAAAGTCTCTCTGTGAGTAGTAAAAGTCATTCAGTAGTAAATGTCCCTGTGTCGTCAGACTCAAATTTTTATCCTTGCTGAGAAATTTATTATCTCATAATTAAATAAATCAAAAAATAATAAAAAAAAATGGTAAATAAAATTTATTTAATACTACACTGAAAAAAAAATTTATTTGATTCAAATAATCGATTAACTATTATTAAATAAATTTTATTTGGAATAATAATTTTTGTATTTGAAACAAATATCATTTAATTGACTCAATAATTATTTGATACAAATAAATATTTATTTGATAATAGTAAAGTAACCGCACAGAAAATTAAAAGGCATTAAAATAAGCTTATTATTTTAATCCAATTTTGCTTATTTTAATACCAAAATGGATTGAAATAAGCAAAATTGGATTAAAATAATAAGTGTTGCAGCTTATTTTAATTTTTAATTTTCTGTGCGATTATTATTTGAATCAAATAATTTTTCTTCAGTGTAATTAAAATTAAAAAAAAAATTTTTTTTAATTTTTAAAAAATTAGAATAGTATATCTAAATAGTAAATTTTGAATAGGAAAATTACCTCATGTGGAAGGATTTCAAAAAAAAACCGGAAATGACTAATTCCGGAGAATTTCCGGAAAACTTACAAACTAGAATTTCCGGAAATCCTTCCACATGGATTGAAAATTAATTTGAATTGATCGACTTTTCACTAATTCAGATTTACTCCAAAAAAAAGGAGGAAATTTTCGAATATTCATTCTGTAATAATATTAAAAAAAAGGGAATTAGAGTTTATATATTCAAAAAAAAGGGGAATTTTGTGTATAATTTTATAAACCGTCCATTTAATTCTATGGCACGTTAAGCTTCTGACTCAACATTAGACGTAATTGTCTTCTGTCCTATATATATATATGTATAGAAAAGAAAATCTTGCTAGAAGAGTTTTCATGTCCCATGAAGCATTCAAGCATACCAAACTGCACAATCATGCTACTGAGAAATTCAAACTCTATATAATATAATATAGATAGCTTTATAAACTTTAAAGTTCCCAA